TCGAATTTCCTCATCCCAAAATCTTTTTTACACTATGGTGTTCCTTACAATAAGTTGCCCACCTTTAATCATAGCTTTTAATTGTCATAGCTTATGCCAATCACATGTTTTGAATGGTAAGAAATATTTCACTACATTTCTTCATATTAATAACTTTTTAATCAACCCATTAGCTATTATGTTTACCAGTTGATCTGTTTGGAGAGATGAATTTGAACTGGAATTTGGTAAAATATTTGAGCATTTTGGTATCGTAAAAGTAAATACCCTTTCGAATATGCACAGTCACGCAGAGGTTTATTGTCTAGAACAGACAACAGAAGTGGATAGGCACATACACATTGATATTGTATTTTCCTTTAAAATGAGTCTTTTGATATTGTATGTTGTGTATTTTCGATAAATTAATTGAAATAAGAATATAAAGTCGATCTATAAATAAAAGATTTCTGGCTTTAATATTGTAACTGTAGACATTGGGTCCAGGGCTATGTAGGTTTCATTGAACCCTAATTGATTTTTGATATTCTCTTCAAAAATTCAACAATATAGATCACATCTCGTATGAACTAATTTGAAGTTTGCCGCGTAAGAACTTTGCAAAAATTTTACTCAATGTTTTGGTACCACAATCATAAGGTCCATACGATTTAATGTTTTATTATTGGGTCAATGTAAAGTAATAAATGACGGACTTTATAAAATATAAAAATAATGAGATGTGGTATGAATGCAAATGAGACAACTATCCACCAGACCCAAAAAAAGTGGATAAAGCAATTATAGGTAACCGTACGGACTTCAACACTGATAAAAAAACACATACCGTATAGTAGACTATAAAAGGTCCCGATGTGACAAAAAGCTCCTTTCATATTCTGATGACTTTCTGGTTTCTATTCACAGTTTTGTAACTTTTATCCTTCAAAATACAACCGCTAGGAATACATCTGCATATGACGTTGTTATAACAGATTTATCAAATTTTTACACAATATTTTAACCCATAGGATAGTCCTCCCTTTTTTTTTTTTTTTTTTTTAGATGTTTCATTTTCAAAGTTATAGGGAATTATTCGACAATTAAATACGAATATTGGTTGATTGAAATTTGCTGTTTTAAAATTTTGGAAATCGTTTTTAATTAAGTAGTATAGCTCTCTCATGCAAAACTCTGGTTACTTATCTGGATTTAGCTATACTTTAGGTCCTTTTTTGGTTTGATCAGCTCTTCAACGTTTGTATAAGTTTTGGTTTTTCAAATATTTTGACATAGAGCATCACTGAACATATATTTATTGTCGAAATGCGCAACTGGTGCAGTACAATTGATTCTTGATAACTTGAGTTTAGCTTATTGGATCCTTGTGAAAGGTTTCTTCCTAGACGAATGGAAGGGAATAAAATACTGTTAACACTCCTGTTTGACTGTAAGTTCGTCTGTTTAATCCTGTTCGACTGTGTGCTTGTCTGTTTCACACCTGTTCGACTGTGTGTTCGTCTGTTTCACTCTTTTTCGACTGTGTTCGTCTGTTTCACTCCTTTTCGACTGTGTGTTCATCTGTTTCACTCCTTTTCGACTGTGTGTTCGTCTGTTTCACTCCTGTTCGACTGTAAGTTCGTCTGTTTCACTCCTGTATGACTGTAAGTTCGTCTGTTTCACTCCTGTTCGACTGTGTTCGTCTATTTCACTCCTGTTCGACCGTGTGTTCGTACGCTAAAATGCATGGTTTTTCTCCCAACAATACTCAACGTAGAAAAGTTGTATTTATAAGAATGTTTAATCACTTACTCTTGGTATGCAGTCCGAAAATGTGGTATGAGTGCCAATGAGACAACTATCCATCCAAGTCACAATGTGTAAAAAGTAAACAATTATAGGTCAAAGTGCGGCCTTCAACACGGAGCCTTGGCTCACACCAAACAGCAAGCTATAAAGATTCAAAAAAGACTAGTGTAAAATAATTCAAACAGGAAAAACAACGGTCTAATTGTTCTAGACTGCTCTACCTTTATATATTGTTCGGTGTTAGTGTCTTTAAGTTCCCGTCTCAATATTGCTTACCAAACACCTTCTTTATTCACATCCTTAAGATATGTATATAATAATATTCTACAAAAAAAAAACGTTCATAGTCACAGGCGTAAAAAAAAACTATTTGTAGTTTACATCTTGTTTATGGATGGTTTGTTTTCCTCTAAGTACAGATAAGTTGCAATAGTTATGGACAAGGCTAAACACAGGATATTCAAACCCGTGACAACTTCTTCCTAAGATGATGAAAAAAGTATTTTTTTAAAGTAGATATCGATAATAAGGATTTGGATGCTATCATTATTAACAATTTTTTCGTCCAAATATCTGTACAGAAAACAACACCTGATGGTTTAAAGATAACAATACACTTGTCATTTCATTAACTACACCAAACCTATTGTATCCCCGATTTTTAAGCACAAGAGGGTATAAGAGAACTTTACCCTCAAGGATGTAAAATAAAAACCATCCGATTGCTCCTATTCATCGCCCCACTACAAATATAATCCCATTGGTCATGTTATAACTGGAGATGAGACCTTGTCAAAGTTAACAATGAAAGATTTAGACAGTTGTTAGCCAAAGCTTCGAAATGTCGCATTCCCAAGTCCATCTACAGGAAAAGCTTCCGGTTGCTGATGGCGCAGTTGAACAAAATGTCAAAAAATGGATAAAGCGCGAGCCAAATGAACCAAAAACTGGACAGTAGACCCAATTAGATTAAAACAGTTCGGTTATGCATTCCAAATCGCATCCAAAAACAACTATCTACCACGTGTTTCTAATCCATAAAATATCTCGGGAATTTTGAAAGAATAGTGCAACTCCTTTTTTTTTCTCTGACGAAAATAACAGAAAAAAGAAAACCAAAAGATAACAAAAATAATAATATATAAAAAACATCAATTATTGTCTGCTGATAATTTCTCTGTTTGTGTCAGATACTTTCCGTATTTTGCTGAATTATTCCAAAATTGGTCTTTGCTTGGAGCTATTTTAAGCTTGCCATACATATACCCACTTATTCATCGTTAAAGAAACTAGAATAATATGCAGATATTCTTAGTGGTTATGATTTCTTGATTAAAGGATAGAAATAGATATTAACTATAAAGTGGATGTTAAAAACGAAGTTATTTTGTTCTGAAAACAAATTGAAATATTGGAACATATACTAAGTTTGCGAAGGCTGTTTATGACATCATAGATATTTGCACTGTAGTTTATCCATTACTGGTTTCTTTGAACAGAGTTAGGTCTTTCAATTATTTCCAGATGCACTAAGAGCTAACCCTTCATTTTCAGTGCGGTTTCTGATGCCCAAGATTCATTTTTCCGTGTAGTTTTTTAGACTGGTGTTTGTCTGGTTCATTGACTTTGGTCATGATGTCTTCTATTCTCTGCACTTATAATTTTGATTGACCATATGGCTTTCATAACTTGTTTGTTATATTGCTCGCGTCTTACCATTCGAGCGATTTTTCAAATATTTAGAATATTCCACAATGTTTTATTTCCCTTTGAATATGAGTTGAATTTTAGGTTGTTAAAAAGTAAAACAAAAATTCCGAACTCAAAGGCAAATTCAAAAAGGGGGAAGCATAAAAACTGACAAAATCAAACGCTATAAAACAAGCGAAAAACAACTGCCTTATTCCTTACTTGGTACATGCATTTTCCGAAGAAAATGTTGGGTTAAACCTGGTTCTATAGCTAGTAATGTATTTCTTTTTGTGAATTACTGTTAAAATTGCATCACAACATTCTTTTTTACTGTTCACATTTGCTTGTCTCTCTGTTGTTATTTAACCATGCCTAATAATTAAGACAATTAGTTGCGCTGTTGATGACTATAGTAAAACAAATAAGTTACTGGTCATTTAAAGTGGAATTTCTAAGATAGGTATAGAAGAACATTTTTGCCAAAAATACAGGGTTTGGTTGTGTGTCTACGCAGTTTCCTATTAACTGCTTTTCTACCAGTTCCGCACTTTATAATAAATGCTCATAGTCACACTCTCGAAAAGAGATTTAACTTCCTACAGGAAAACAAATCATCCGTTAATGCGAGTCCAAGAGGATTCTTGCAACAAATAAAGATCAGCTGTAGACAACGTTCAATTTACATTTGCTTTACTCTTATTTCTGCATAACATATTACAATGGTTGTGGCCATTCTACTCAATGGTTTTTGTCACCTAAATGTGTTATGTTGACTATAAATTTTCAATGTAAACATTACCATACTTTTCGATTATAAGCATAAGACAGCAATAGTGTCATTTTAAAATAACTTAGGTTCTTGTATATCAAATGAGATTTTTTCGTTGTTGACCAGTTTTATTTTTATCCCATTAATATAAGGATATAGGGCTGCTTATTTGTATTTGGCCAACACTTTTGGAATTGTAGTTCCTAGATGCTCTTCAACTGCGTACTTTATTTGGCTTTTAACTGTGTTGATTCGTGCGTTACTGATGAGTCTTTTGTAGACAAAACGAGTGTCTAGTGAACAAAATTATAAGATTGGTATCTTTTAAGAGTTTTTGTATTTCCTAAAATATGTTGCATCATGTTAATGCTCTTATGAAAAAGAGCTGTTCTCAACACTGACGTTCATGAATAATGTTTGCTGTGCTTATTCCAAAACAATTCTATGTAAGTTTTACAGTTTCCTTTTAAAACGCCTATAAAAGTCTTTAAGCTACCAAAAACAACACCCACCAAAGTATTGAAATAAAGTAAAACCTACTGAAGTGCAAAAGTGATAACTTGTGCAATTATTTGCATTAAAGCAGATTGCAGCCGATTTAAATATGACAAAAAACAACTGTCGGCAAAACGGTTTTAAGGTATACCTATTTTTTTTCTACTAATGTTCATTGTACCATAACTTTGGTTACAAAATCAGACATATATATTAGAAGTTATACATTTAAATTTGATCAGTTATTGATAAATGTTCGACAGAGAATAAAATTTACAATTGTTCATACTGGATGCAATAGTACAACTCAAAGGTAATTTTAAGTTCTGTTTAGAGGAAAAAGTTATTATCACAAGTATTCATTAAGTTTTGCAGAAACAAGTGTAAACATCTCGCTGTATAACGTGTGGATGAATTGCAAATAAACTCAAATCGTCAGTGGTAAACGTCATGCAGACAATATGACTTATCAAATTGACAATGAAAATTAATAAGAAAGTCATTTCATCCGCGTTGGAAATGTATTGGTTTGGTTATCACAATGGCAATTACAATCTGTGTAGGCTCTAGGCAACAAAGGGCTTGACATATTGTGTGGATACATGTCTAGCATTAAAAATTGTATAGCATTATCGTTATACAAATCTTTAAACCTGTATATGTTTTTCATGCAGTATTGTCAATTCCAGACGATCAGACGATCGTATTTCAATGCAGTTTACCGATCGATTTAAATATGATGACATTTCAGATATTTCAAACAATTGTTGAAAGGTAAAACCACAATATCAAGGCATAAGAACATTTAAAAGCGTAAAGTGTACCTTAAAGTACCTTAAAGTTGGTTTCACAATACGACATTTATGTAATTGCTAAGTTATGAATTTAAATTTCATCCGTTGTTGATACATGATAGACGAAGAATACGCTCTTTGCTGGTTAGTACGCAGGATTTAAATCTCAGAGGTAACTTTCAATTATATCTAGAAGAAAAATATTATAAATGATAACACAATTAGAAAAATCAAAAACTTAAATCCTGTGTCTACAGTTTAATTTCATTCCTCTTGGTTACATTCTTGAGCACGATTTTGGTGTTTTTGCGTTTTTAGTTTTATGACATTAAAGGGCTTTGAATTGTTAGCTAGGACAGCGTTATTTAAGAAATAATTCATGACAACCGTAGATTTGTTTTCTTTAACCATGGGTTGGGCTTTATTTTCGATTATTTTTCACAAGCGATAGCGGGTATTGACCTACGTATAACTTGGGTTTTAACTGTCGCAAATTCAGTTTACCTGGTCGTACAAATAAGGTACAAATAACGCTGAATATCCAATTTTGTGTATAAATGCGTTAATCTGTCAATAAAATGAGAGCCCAGGACTATCACGTATAACGTTATTCAGTGTCGTATGTATCTGCCTCAACTTTATTACTAACGTTTGTTTTAAATTTAAATAGGCAGTTACACGTATGAAAAATAAAGAGTGTATATCTATAAAGATTTTTGGTAATTTTTTCAACATAAGTGGTTTTTATTTAGCATTGGGGAATATTGCAAATATGTATTTTTTCGTTTGCATCCTTGGCTTTTAAATGTTTGGGTTAAAGAGTTAGATGAAGGTTAATCCAGAAAAGCACTTCGGACGCAGGGTATTTATACGTGTGATTTAGCCCGTAACAGTAACACGTATTGCTTTTCTCTATATGTATAGCTTAGATGAAGTTTAACGTATAATCACTATTCAAGATATGTTATGGGTTAAGAAAGCAAGTTATTTGCATTTACATCGAATTTCAATTATTTAATTAAAAATTTTCATAATGAATTTTTTAAATTAATACTGAAAACAATATTGACAACTATAGTGTAAATCGTATATCGACTGTAGTTGCTTGTTTGTCTTAACGGATATCGACTCTATGTACATCCCATACAACCGGAATTTGAATCAATGTTTAAGTGTATAATCATAAAAAATCAGGACTGTAAATCTAGAGGTGGGTTCAAATCCTTTCTTGTCTACAACATATCAGGTACTAGTCATAACTATTTAAATATTGAATAAACCTTACTTTGTAATTTCACTTATAAATGTCATATTCATTTAACTGAAATTTTAGTTAAGTTTGAGCATAGAAAATGTTAGTATGAACTTGTAGCGTTTTATAAGATCAAACGCTTTTCCTTTAATTTTATCAAAGTTTTTTTCTTATACATACTTATGATAATATGACTCTGGTCTAGCTGTGGCTTTAGATCATTACACTAGGAGATTATATATTTATTTATTCTTATCAAATGTTTTTTTCATATTTCAATTATGTAAATCATTGCAGACTTCGTTGCAAGATTATTTTTGTTTCAGGAAAATGGCTGGTTTGAAGTTTTTGATATCTACTTGTATTCTGCTAGAACTAGTCATCTTTTGCAGGTATTTCTGTTAATAAATGAATATTATGTATTAAGCACGAATATCACACACACATATATATATATATTAGTCAACGATCTTTCCTACGATGGCACTGGATCGTTACGAGTAACGATACCTGGACACAATAAATAAATTATATAAACGCCGAAAAAGTGTACAAATCAACACCAATATTAAAAAAAAGGAAACATTAAATGCAAGTATCTATAAATATTTGGGATAACAGATATCCTTCATCAGTATGATTACGATGCCAAATGAATCCTATCAATCAATTCTGATTTAACTGAAACAATCTTTACAGTTATACAATTTAAAACCGAACAACGCTTGTATCGTTCTAAAATTTCAAATATGACGTAGGTTAAGTATTTACAATAGAGACTGCATATATATGCTTCTAAAAAGTATAGTAGTATGCGATATGAACTGGTACAATTCTAAAATTTCACAGGTGACGAAAGTTAGGTCATTACAAGAGAGCCTGCGTAGAAATGCATTCCAAATAAATAGCACTGATCGATTTGCACTGATTTGATACTAAAATTTCAAAATTTGACGAAGTTTACAACAGAGGCTGCGTTTTTATACATCCCAAATGAATAGCACCGTTAGATTGGTACTGGTATAATTTTAAAATTTCAAATTTTGACGAAGGTTAAGTTATAAATGGCAGTTGTTATCTTATAGTTCGTTTCTGTGTGTGTTGCATTGTCGTTTGTTTATTGTTCACTTCAGTGTTTCTGTTGTTTCGTTGTTTTCCTCTTATAGTTGATGTGTTTCCCTCGGTTTTAGTTTGTAACTCTGATTTGTTTTTGTCTCAATCGATTTATGACTTTCGAACAGCGGTATACTACTGTTGCCTTTATATAACAACGTGGCTGCGTACTTACACATCGCAAATGAATAGCACCGTGCGATTTGAACTAGTGTAGTTCTAGATTTTCAGTTAGGAATAACAACAGAGACTGCGTAGTATTTAAAACCCAAACGAAAAGAACTGCGCGATTAAAACTACACCTTTTCACTGATGCCATTAGGTGCCAACGTTTTTAATTTTCCTATCCAAAATCATTCCCGAGTGATTCTGTTCTCCCTAGACCAAGCAGTGTTGTGGTCTGTGATGGTAAAAGTCAGTCGATTGAGATCTGTCTTAGTGTGGCCAGAGGATCTCAAATGTCGACTGAGATGAAGGTCTGGCTTGTATTCATAGTCGCTACAATCTAACATTGCTATTCATTGGGGATGTATAAATACGCAGCCTCTGTTGTTGTAATTACTTAACCTTCAAAATTTTAGTATTATATCAGTTCAAATCAGTTTTTAAAAAATGGAGGACAATTCGGAAAAATCATGGGACCGGCAGTTAATACAAATAGAAAAATATAATTTAAAAAAAAGCATGTTTTCTTCTTTAGTAAAGACCCCTTGATTTGTAGGTTTTCTATTGTCCTTTCATAAGTTATACATGTGACCCTAATAGTAGTTATTTAACTTTTTTTTAAAATATAAAGTACAGACGATCAAAAATGTATTATTCCGATCATATGAATCTCAATAAGTCTTGTTTCCGGGGAGTACGGATATAAATTAGTTTTATAGTTTTGCGAATATTCTTTTTTCCAAGTATTTTGTACTGTGCAAAAAATGAAGATTCAGACAATGGTACAAAAATAAATCAACTTAAGAAAAACCCACACAAAACAGGGAAACAGAGGTAACTAGCCTATTTACAATATATGGATCGACAATTTAATAGATAATATATGAATCAATAATTGGCATCGAGCCAGGGACGAAAAGTACTTTAATATGTTTAAATTGTTGTTTTAATTTTTTATCGAATTATATATTTATTTTAATTTAGTATTCATATTTTTTCTATTTTAGAAACACCTATCAAACTCAATCAGACATCATTACCTGTGATTTTGTTATAATTGGTGCCGGAACAGCCAGCTTAACTCTGGGCGGCTTGTTAGCAAATATCCCATACTGGAAAATTTGCATTTTAGAACGTGGCCCTCTGGAATCGAGAATGGATGGATGGTATACTAACAGTTACAAGTTTACTACTCCTCATGATCCGATGTGGCTTACAACTCCTGTTCTCAAGACAATTGAAAATAATAAAAATAAAAACAGAGATGGACGAAATATATATATCCCAAGATTTCGTGGTCGTGGTGGAACATCTCGTGTTTATGGAGCAATAAATAGAAGAGCTAGTCCTGCTGTACTTGATTTGTGGCCAGATGGATGGAAACATGATAATTTGACCCACTATTATAAAAGAATGGAAGATCATTATTGTTATTATGACTCAAAAGATGTAACTGGAATATCAGAAGAAGATTGCAAAAAATGGCATGGTAAAGGAGGTGCAATGCAGGTAAATACACAGATGGAGGAGGCATTTCAAAAATTTCCAAGAGAAATGAAATATCTTTGCGAAAAGACCAGCATGCCTTGGGGTGGTTATGCTCATAACTACAACGGTCATTTGGAAGATAGAATAAGCTGCAGCGTTTTTCAACAATTCAAAATGAGGACGGAAAAAGTTGGAAAAGACGATTTTGTACCTACACCGGAGGCGCGAAATAACCGAGCTTCACAGACGGCTCGTGGTAGCAGTTATTCAGGTTATTATGAACGAAGACAGAACCGACCTAACCTTCAACTCTTTACATCTACAACTGTTACGAAAATTTTGTTTGAAAATAAAAAGGCAATAGGGGTCCTCTGTTTGAATGAAGATAGTGAGAAAATTTTAACATTTTACGCCAAGAAAGAGGTTATTGTTGGGGGAGGGTCTTTTGATACCCCTCATTTGCTTCAGATTAGTGGTATTGGTCCCAAAAAACTTTTGAAGAAGATTAAAGTTGATATTGTCGCTGACAATCAACACGTTGGACAGCATTTATGGGACCATATCTCCGTTCCATATGTACTCAAGCTCACTCCTGAATCAGATGATTTATGCTGCACTGGTCCAGACAGTAAAATACCAACAGTTAATATTGATGGTAAAATTTATGATACAAGAACATTATCCAGTATCAATGGTCCATTTTCATGGATTTTGCATTTGAGATCAAATTTAACTCGGCCGCTGCAGAATATGTCTGACATTCAGATATATGTGATGGGAAATTCCAAACTTTTTGACGAAACAGGATCATTGTGTACCGCTCCAACAACTGGTCACAATGATCTAAAGGAATATGCTTTCTCTGGGGATGAAGATGATACCGTTGATTCAGAAGATTTCAACGAAGGAACAATTCGTATTATCGATCAATGGCCAGAATTTCGAGGCTCTATTAATGCGGTAACAGCCAACATTTTCGACAAACCAAAATTGGATTACGGATGGACCTACACTATAGATGGAATACCTACAAAAGAATTCGAACAAGTGTCCCAACTATTCAAAGATCAGATTCGAATGTTACGAGACATGTTTTTTGGCAATGATGTTCGAGAAGAGCTACGTTCTTTAATTGTTGACGAAGTTGCACCAGGTAAAGATATTGATACGGACGAAGAACTAGATGCGTGGATGAGGGGAATGTTTGTTTCAGCATTGCATCCAGTAGGGACATGTAAAATGCCTGAATGTGCAGACGAATTTTTACAAGTGAGGGGAGTGTCTAAATTGAGAGTATGTGATGCTTCAGCGTTCGCCACGCAAACCGATGGAAATCCTGCTGCAACCCTCTATGCAATGGGAGAAAAACTTGCAGATATGCTCAAATTTCAGTATTTAAAGTACGTTAAAGTTGCCATACGTCAAGACTTATCAATTCAAGTTGAATCGACTAAACTGGATGACCCGGATATTTCGTCTGTCCAATCATACACTAACTGTATAGACACTAAGGTCTCGAGCGAATGGATATCAACGGGAAAGTCAACTTCTGCTATGATTTACCAGTGGTCTCTTGTTTGCAATGATAATTCAAATGTAAGGGATATTGCAGATAAAGTCATTGAAGCAACACTCAGCTTGAATGTTGACTACGATAGTTGTAATACAGAAGGCTTCCCAAAGTTTAACCGTGTAGAGACTCCCCCTATTAATAAAGAATCTGAACCAAATCATAAAGAATCATCTTTTGTTTTTATAGCATGGTGTAGGGCATTTGAAAATGTTAATCCTAATGATCTGTGGAGATCTGTTGGTTATTATAACGGAGATAATGGAAATAATCCTGGTTCGAAAAAATGTTTTAAACTAAACTGCCAAGAGGAAATATGTTCAATTTTAAAATATATGAACAACGATAATAGAGAACTGATTTTTTCGGAACCGGAACTAAATTTGCCCCTTAAAAACTATGTTTCAACAAAGAAGGTTGTTTCGAAAAACTATGGAAAATCATCCTATTATGTACGAACTGGATCATTTAAAAGTAATCCCGGTATAGATTGGTATGATGGAATTGCCGGATACTTACTTGAAGATGTGTATTCTGCTGATGGAACTAGACGATCACGACAATACCCACCACTGAACAGTCTAAGTGGATGGTGGACAGAAAAAACGGATGGGCTATTATATTATGAATCCAAAGGCATAAAATCTAGTTTGCATCTTGCAGCGTTTGATTTGGACGGAACTCTGATTACAACGAAATCCGGAGAGGACTTTCCTATAGATGAAAACGACTGGGAGTTAAAATTTCATAAAATTCCCGAAAGACTGTTAAAAAATCGAAACGAGGGTATCAACAATGTTATTATGAGTAACCAGAAAGGAATTGGGTTAGGTTTGCAAAATAAAGAAGAATGGATGACAAAAATAGAGAACATAATTTCTAAGTTGGGAGTACCAATGTATGCTTTAGCTGCCACCGAAGATAACAAATACAGAAAACCGAATGTTGGAATGTGGGAATATTACAAATGTTCATTAAACCAATTCAGTTCAATTGATAAATCCGATGCAGTATACGTTGGTGACGCCAATGGTCAAGAAGGACGCCCAGATTCAGACAAAATGTTTGCTGAAAATGTTGGCATCAAATTTTATAATCCAGAAGAATACTTTCTTTCTTCATTTAAGAAATATCATGATGACCTATAATATTCTAAGGATAGTTTATGGAATATCGACAAAAGAATAATGTATAAAGTATCTTAGTAATAATATGGTAATCATATACAACTTTTAGCATGTTTAGTATTATACATAGCATGTTCTCACTCGCAACTCTCATTCGAACATTAATTGTTTCTTATTCTATACTAAGAAACAACAAAGACTGATATGAAAATTCACAACAAACAGTTTTATTTGATAGACACAAATATTGTCAACAATATAACAAATCATCAAGAAAAAAGTTCATACATCAATTTCAACATCCAACTTGTGCAAACAAAGATCTACAAAAGAAGTTAAAAAGAACTAGAAGTTATTCTAGTCGTCGAACATGTTTGGTTGTGTGAAATCTCGATGAAATAAAAAGGGCGCGTAGAATATTATATGAAGTCTAAAAACTGATTTACTGAATAGATTTCAGTCGTTTTTTCTCAAACTTTTTGAGCAGTTTCGGTTGATCGACATGTGGCAAAAGTTATGGCGTTAGAAATAGAAAATAACTTGAAAATGTAGATTTGGAATTCAATTAGGTGATGGGTGGATTGTTAGTTGTTGAAAATATTCTCATCCTTAAACCAATATTCCGCCCCAATAAATGCTAAGATGGACCTTCCGTACTAAATTTACCAGATATCTCTGACAATTAAATGCTTGTTCCAAAACGAAATATCTTGTATTGTTGTTAAAACCTTTCATTATTCACAAGATAGCCTAAATCACCTGGTTTCGTAGTAATGATTTGTCTGAGTAGAGTAAATTGTGACAGCAAATATTAATTTGTTAACGTTTTTTTGCTTAGCAATAATGATTGTAGAAGTATAATTGTAGATGTTTGTTATTCTTCAGCTTATCTATGAAGCTTATAGCTCATATAAATATTGTAGTTTTAGACTCAGTTTATATATTTCACAATCCCGGCTTGTTAGTTCATTATGTTTCTTCAAGCAGTTCGCTCAGTCATAGTAATGGTTGTACAATTTAGTTTTGTTATCTAATCATTGATGTTATAATAAACGTTTGTATATTTTCCACAGCATGACAAAACCAATCAAATAATGTCATTTTTGCTGAACGCTTATATATAATCTTTTATACCTATACCTCACACATTGCGATTAAATTTTTTTCACTACAAACACTTGTTACATGGTCTCAATACCGACTGCACCTGTGCTAGTTCTTAATTTATATATAATCCGGCTGGCCACGTTATTACTGCTGATAACAACAACAATAACAACACCAACAAAATAAACTGTTAGAAGATAGCTGATCTCACATTGATTCCGAAAATACAATGCTTAAGGCACCTTTCTCATAAATTAAGGGAGACAATAAGTCACTTCCGGTGTCAAATAATAGCTTACTTTATGTTGATTCCGAAAGTATATGGTCTATACTTTTGTCTGAAATAGGAGAGAAAAGTTGGAACTTCCGGTTTACAAAATTTCATTTCCGGTATCATCTGATAGGTTGCTTCAAACAGATTCCTAAAATATTTGGTTGTAGGTACTTTTTAATAACATCAATGCAGCAAATTCCTTCTTCCGGTTTTAATTAGGTCACTTTATGCTGACCCTTTTAAGATCATATGTCTACTAACGGTATGCAATAGACCCCATGGCTTTGTCATGTATAAATATAATTTATACCAAAAGCCTATAACGTCAAATTTAGCTTTGGCCTTGACCTAAATTTCAGGGTCATAATGCAGAGACATCAAGTCAAAAGACCCTAATTCTACTATATATGGGTAACGAGTTAAATCACAATACAGCTAATTTTAAAGATTACAGGAGAGAAAACTCTCCTTAATGTCAACACACCCTTTGAACCAAAATATATATGTTACGACATAGTTAAGTAACAATATTTTGTGGATATCTTTTACGACTTCTGAGGAGAAGCGATAATAAGCCAAAATCAAAATTTAGAACATGACCTTGACAATTGACCTTGACCTCATTATCTTTTTGGTGGAATAAAGACCTCAAATCAAAAGACCCTATGTCTCTATCAATAAAGGTTAACAAGTTACAAATATATATATCACTTAAATCATATACATAAAGGGAAATAACTCTCATATGGAGTCTCTGGAGCGCTTTATTCAAAAGCTTTTCGATTATATAACGAGCAATTTAGAAAAATCAATTTGTTGGTTTCTTTTACGTTTGCAAAGGAGTAGAGATAACAAGTAAAACAGTGTTCAGGGATATTAATCTTACTGTTCGATATCTTATACCAAATATCTAAGCGACATCTTGCAAAACAAAAAAATCCCCGCAAGAAATAAAAGCGCCGGAAGAAAAACAAATAATCAGACACAATCAAATGATTTTTCCACGGAAATGCGGAAAGACCTAATAACAACAAAATTAAAACATAAATAATTTTCTCATTCATTCATTTACTAACTTTTAATATGTGTTATGGCTAATCTAACTAATTGATTTATCACTGACTGTTGTTTGTTTAACCTGTAGTAATTGGTTGATTGATTGCTTGGTGTTTAACGCCATTGTGCTTTTTGGTGGCGGTCATTTTTTGTTGGTGGAGGAAGCCAGAGTGCCGGATAAAGCAACCGACCTTCGGTAGGACAACTGAAAATCCTAATCAATGAAGATTGGAGTCGATCGGATTTACCTAATGCAGGATTCCAACTAACAACCTCGGATGTTCAAATGAACATCTTCTAGCATTGGTTTTACGACTAGATGAAAGTGGTCCATGTGACCTTATTTCTATTTTCCAGTTAACCCTTAAGGTATTGAAATGAAGTACTAAAAAGCTAGATTTGATGAATGATTGCATTAACAAAACAAGTACTTTTAATTTCTTCTTCAGATGATTAAAATATTTGTTAAACTAGCAAGCAAAATTGCATGATTGCACTCTCAGTAATCTAATAGGTTTCCCTTATTAATTTCGTCAACTTTTGTTGTATCGGATTTACCTAATGCAGGATTCCAACTAACAACCTCGGATGTTCAAATGAACATCTTCTAGCATTGGTTTTACTACTAGATGAAAGTGGTCCATGTGACCTTATTTCTATTTTCCAGTTAACCCTTAAGGTATTAAAATGAAGTACTAAAAAGCTAGATTTGATATGAATGATAAGGTAATTTCTATTAACAGTTCGAGCTACATTTTTTATTATTTAGAAATTAGCAATTCGAAGTATTTCAACGATGGCAAAATAAGTTTCACTTTAATATAAAAAGAAAGCCTTGTATCTGTTACATGTATAACATATGTATTATTTGCAAACGAAAATGTATCGGTCTAACTGGGATCAATCTTTGTGGAAGCGTTGCATTAACAAAACAAGTACTTTTAATTTCTTCTTCAGATGATTAAATATTTGTTAAACTAGCAAGCAAAATTGCATGATTGCACTCTCAGTAATCTAATAGGTTTCCCTCACTAATTTCGTCAACTTTTGTTGTGCATATGTTATTTATTACTTGCCCACGATAAAATAGTAAATTAGTATTATGTTTCACTTAGTCCATCCCCCTTTTCTACTTTTTTTATTATAATTAAGGCTGTACACCTCTGAGGAACCAAACATTTCTAAAATTAAACTTTTTTTCTTAACCTGATTTTTGGGTTTATAAGACTGTAAGAAAGTAATTGATGAAGAAAAATCATATGGTGGTGCACTTCTTTTTTTTGCTACAGCCATATGAAAGTACCCATTTTTAATGATTTTCCTATTTTTCATCAATTTTTACCCATTTTTGGGCTATTATCATGAAACAAATCACAGTTCTACAATTAAACATTTTTGTCATACTTTCACAACAGATAAAGTGCACCAATCTGAATACATTTGACTTAAAAAAACTATAGGTTGGTGTGATATAAGAAAGTTTTATAAAATTTTGTTGCTTTTTCGTGTCAAATTGACCGTGTTGTCAATTTCGTAAATTTGGGATTCTTCTCTTTTTTAGAACAAAAAGCATGTTATTTCAACTTCTTTGTTATAAATGATTGAAAAAATACATATCCAAGAATTTTGAAAACGAAAAATTGATATGGGATGTACATATTTTTGGTAAAATCATTTCTTTGTATCCCTCACCCATTTTCTCGATATTTTGGCTGATGACACTGACCGGATTGGTTAAAACAAAATAAAAATTTTATTACTCAAAAGCTACTTATTGTAAGTACACAATTTTTTCACAGAGTTTAGTTTGATTATGATATTTTTAAAATTCATTAATATTTTCTACTTGTATCACATGTTTTGAAAATAATTTCCAAACCAGATTTCAACGAGACTGAAACATCAGAAGAATACATCCTTAAGTAGTCCAAAACCGAAGTTTGGAAGACGTACTGCATTTGTCTTCTTTCTATTTATTATTATTATTATTTTTCTTTGATGATCTTTTCCGACCATTTTCATAAATTCAGTAAAGGAGCGAAATTTTATATTTGTTATGGTTCTGGGTTACTATCCCTAGAGGTGCAGTGAACTTTATTTTCTAAATGTAAACATGAGGACCACATGCCATTAATTAAGAAGCCCAAACAGGGGTGTGGTTAAATTGGTTTCTTTTTATATAGCTACATCATATAGAAAAGGTAGAGGCTTCCTGTTTTGTATGATACAAGAGACTTGTGCCTAAGTGTGTGTGCTACTCTGTTTATCCCAAATAGATACCAACTTACACTGTTAAAGAAGCTCGAAAGAAGAAAATGTCGAAAATGTCAACTTTTTTATTGGATCTCATAAAATATGAGTGATGTTTTATTTGATGTTAAAATGTTATATTAGGACCAGATGATGTTTTGTTGTAAACATTTTCTGGTTCAACAAGAGACCACTTGCACAGTTTAAGGGACTTTTAAACAGAGAGAACTTTACATTTCTATGTAGCAACATTCCAGCAGCGCCTGTATACAGAGTATATATCTCCCAATTGATACGATATTCACGGGCTTGTATTTCCTATCATGATTTCCTTGATAGAGGAATGCTGCTCACAAGGAAGCTATTAAACCAAGATTTCAAAATGGTGACGTTGAAATCATCTCTTCGTAAATTTTACAGACGCCATCACGAGTTGGTTGTCTGTTATGGAATAACCGTTTCACAGATGATATCGGATATGTTCCTTATGTCGTAACTACAATACCCTTCCCTTTTCACGAATGTGACCTACCGAATTAGACTATTTACCGGATTTGTAATATCATAATCAACACGACGGGTGCCACATGTGAAGCAGGACCTGCTTACCCTTCCGGAGCACCTGAGATCACCCCCAGTTTTTGGTTGGGTTCGTGTTGCTTAGTCTAGTTTTCTATGTTGTGTCATCTGTACTATTATTTGTCTGTTTGTCTTTTTATTTTTGGCCATGGCGTTGTCAGTTTGTTTTCGATCTATGAGTTTGACTGTCCCTCTGGTATCTTTCGTCCCTCTTTTATAATAATCAGAACCTTATTTGTTCAAGTTTTTTTTCTGAATCAGGCAACTTTCGGTTAAAGTGACTTTTGTGTTAGCATCCTAACAGATAATTGCTTGTTATATTATAGGCATTCACTCTTCTTTTTTTCTTGAACTTGAACCTGGCAGTTCTAAGAAACTGTGTAGTAGATTACATTGTATTTCAAAATTATATATACCGCTAGTCCTATACGGCTATATCCATACTTATGACTTAGATATTTAGAATTTGCAGATTGGTTTATTTTAATGGAATATTTTGAGTGGATCAAAAGGGGGAATGTTTACTATACAAACCTATGGGAAAAGCAATAGAATTTTGGAGATTTGTTTGTTCGCATCGTAATACATTATTAGTTGTTTATTTAAAATTATGTACACTGTAAAACGTTTACATGTATTTGTATATATATATATATATATATATATATATAATAACTTTGTCCTATGTCATTTCGATCCCATTAATGAAGATGTTTATTACGGCAACAAGAAAGCTGAAGATCAGAATTGTTATGTTAAGTTTTTCCGCACTTGATTCACTTTTCTTCAGGTTTTTTTCTCTTTTTGTTATATCATTATCACATCCACAATCATCAAATCGATCCTCATCTTTCTCTTTCTTCATTTCTATATCATTTTTCTCTTTTACATTTGCTTTTTCCCAATTATTTTGAATAATAAGAAGTATTCCGGTTGTAATTTGTAGCACTATAGAAGTGGATACCAATACATAACCCATTAAACACGGAATATGGGCCCAGCATCGTTTTTTCATGAGTAAAGTATTCATTAATGTTACATTTGACCACAACAAGGCAGAAGTCAAGGATACCTGTGAGCCTGTCTTATAGGTTTGACCGATTGCAGTCCTGGTCCTTTCTTCTATCTGATTTTTAGTCATTCTGAAAAATAATTCATTTTAAAATATAATGAACTAATAGAGATTTCCAATAAAATGACTTTACTCGACATACATGTACCAGACCTAACTCAACGTATATCGTCCTATTGCATTGAAGCATGACAGAGGGGAGCATACACTGCATGCATTTTTTGCTCTTTGAACACGCATTTTTTGCGGATATAGACTTAATGTAAAAATCAACCCCAACTACTTTTTTTAATCTTTAAATATTTTGTTATTAAATGTTTAATGATTTTATTGACAAAAATATTTTAATGGAATAAATAAGCTAGCAACTTGTAATCAAATACACCCATCATTTCTTGTCATTTCACTTGACCCATATTTCAGTTCTTCTCAACATATGAATTTTAAAAACTACCAAGTAAACATTTAGCATGAAAATATTAAAATAATGAAATCCGAAGCGAGGAGGTCATCTCTTTTTTTTTGTTTTTATAAGTTTTAACGTTTAAAAAGTGGATTCAAACACATCCGAATGTAAAAGGTGTACGCGACTAACTTTAAAAAAAAAATTCTATATAATTTGACGTGGGCAGAAATTCATATCATTGATACATTTATCAAAAAGTACTTTTTAGTCTTTAACTATAATAATGCATGGGACGAGGTTTTGGTCATGTATACATAAACGTGCAATCGCGGATACAGGGATAGAGGGCGTACTCCCCCCTTTCGATCGCCAAGTAATTTTGAACATCTCACATTTTCCACGTTATCTATACAAATGTTTAGTATAAAATCTTCCATTTTTTTTCGCGTTGCTTCGCTCGGCAGTATAATTTCAATTATCGGGAACTACGCCCTCTTTCAAATATCTTGGATCCGGCCATAATCACAAATTGTATAGCACAAAAAAAAAATTAAATGATTGTCGTTTGACTTTGATAAATACGTTTTAAAAACAACAATGTTTGAACATTAGATTGATTGATTTTGATTTTTGGTGTTTTAAGGCCACTTTTAAGCACCGCTTTTGGGCTATTTCGTGGCGGCCAGTTTTTACTGGTGGAGAAAGCCGGAATGCCCGGAGAAAACCACCGACCTTCGATAGGAAAACTGACAATCCTAGTCAATTAAGATTGGAGTCGAGTGCACTCGCACGAGCGGGGTTCGAACTCACAACCTCAGTGTTGACTGGCTAGTGATTACAGTAGTAACTACTTAGACCACTCGGCCACCGAGGCCTCCTTGAACATTAGACATCTCGCACGAGATTTAAAAGTTTAAGACTACATACTGGATTGGATTTTTTTCCTGGACAGTGAGCTCACTTAACACGGAAATGTGATACTGGCGTGTAATCTAATGGACACATATTCTTGTTTCTGATGTTTCTTTTAATATAAATATTCATTTATTTAGTTATATATAATCCCACTAACAAATAATCATGTACCTTTTACTGATAAATTATCATTACATTTTATAGAAACTACATATATTCTGCTATACAGTTATGACACTCTGTGCTTTTGACATGACACAAGGTCTTGCTTTTCTAGAGTGTTTATGTACTTTTTTACTTAATTTGTGATATGTACAAAAAAGAAGATGTAGTATGATTACCAATGAGACAACTCTTCACAAGAGACCAAATGACACAGAAATTAACAACTATAGGCCACCGTACGACCTTCAACAATGAGCAAAGCCCATACCGAATAGTCAGCTATAAGAGGCCACAAAATGACAAATGTAAAACAACAAAAACGATAAAACTAACGGCCTAATTAATGTACAAAAAAATGAACGAAAGCACAGCAACAAATGATAACCACTGAATTACAGGCTCCTTACTTAGGACAGTCACATCCAAACATAATGTGGCGGAGTTAAACATGTTAACGGGCCCACTTACCTAATATAGTGGTGTAACAGTACGAAATAATTGATTAATATTCTAGACTGGATAATTATTCTGTATTTATTAGTTGTAGTTGTTTTTAAGATAGTGTTCAGTAGCTATGAATACTCTAAGATCGGTACATGGGAGTTTATTTTGAAATACTAGTAATTGCTGTTTTTGTGCTTCGTTTTAGTCGGACGAGTCAATCCCTTTCATACTGTTTTAATTATGAGTAGACATGATCATTTGATAAACATACTTCTATGATCTCTATTGGCTGTAACTTGTAATTATGTAGCAAAGAGATGCATGTCTAAAATAAGTTCTCGACATAAATTGGCTAAAATATCAGATAAGAATTTAGCCTCAAGCTATAAAACTTACAAGCTATAATAAAGACGACGAAGATTAAGCCTCAAGCTATAATACTTATGATGATGATGATACTGATGTATGTCTTATATCCAGCGACAAATATTACATATATATTAAGGATGATGAAATGGTAGCGATTCGCTGGATCGAATTGTCCAACAAAATAACTGAACCCGTAATCGAGGCAGGCCTGCTACCAGTCAATTCCATATTTAATAAAAAACCTGTTTATATATTTTATGCTTTAAGTGCATATATCATTATTCTTGCAACACTTGTTTTGTTTTGATATCATTTTTTGTTGCATAATTTGTTTGATTTTTCTCCTTGTTTCTTTGTATCAAAAAGCTTAGTTTTTATTGTAAAATGGTGTTTCACAGCTTCCATTATCCTTGTGACTTGCTATTGTACGTATATCCAGTAGGCATGCAATTATTATTCTAAATAGTAAAAATGTTTTTAACAAGTAAATATTACCCCGTTTTGATCCAGACTCCCTTACCACTAGCATCTAAGATACATACACTGACAAAATATTGTACCCAGAGGCGGATTTAGAGGGTTTTTCAGAGGGCCCCCCCCCCTCTCTTTTTGTGGGAGAAGTTTGGTTGGTTATTTAGGAAATCACTGAAGCATGACTGGAGTGGGCCCTCTCAGGCAGTCAGTGGGCACCCATTATGAAAATTTCTGGATCCGCCACTGGTACCCGCACTCATATTACAATCACCCTGTCTATCCGTCCGCCAGTCTGTCCGTTCAACAACTCTTTTCAATTTTCTCTTCAAAAGCATTAGTATGCTTAGCATGCATTCTTTTTTCGATTTATTCCTTACACTCCTGGGGTCAAACTATCATACAGAGTCCAAATGGTGTGAATTACGACTACAGTGGCTCGTGCTGTCGTCAACAATAAGCAAATACTCATACCGTATTATCAGATACTAGTATATAAGGCATTGACTTTGAAAAATGTAAACTTTTCAAACGAAAATAAACATTTTTACAAGAGTAAAATTAACACAAAAATGACAGAAAGTAACCAACGACATCCACTGAATTGAAAGCATCTGACTTGGGAAAGCCTATATAGAATTTGGCCTGATTAAACGCGTTTACCAGCGCTCAACACTCTGGTGTAACAGCACAATATAAGAAAAAAAAACCCTGTAAAATTCAGTTGGAAATATAATCAATATTGAATTAAGCCCAAAACAATTACATTTTATGATAAAAGACACAGAGTACCGATCTTAAAGTACCCCCAGGTACTGAAAGCTGATTCTTAAATGTTAAATTACCTGAGAATATTAAACGTATTTAGTTAAAAAGAACAACAAAAAAATAAGGAGATATGGTATGATTGCCAATAAGAAATGAAGTTGATGTAAGCAATGATATGCAACCGTACGGCCTTCATCAATGAAAAAAATCCATACCGTGTAGTCGACCATAAAAGGAACCAACTTGAAAAATATGAAACAATTCAATTGAGAAAACTACCGGCCTGATTTAAAACAAAACAAGTTACGAAAAAACAAATATAACAGATATGAACCAACGACAACAAGTGAACCACAGGCTCCTGACATGGGACAGGCACATAAAAAATGAGTGCTCAACCCCCACCCCCTAAGCCCGGGACAGTGGTGCAACAGCACGACATAAGAACAACCTGTAAAAACCTTCCTTCAGAGAGCTTGGTTTACACATATATACATATTCAAAGTAATTATTGATATAAAATGTGTTTTCAGCCGTGTATCACCTTCAATGGTGATCATATGCATGGATATGTCGTAGAGTTTAACTTTTATATATAAATATATACCTCTAATGCGAGACAAAAATTGAAACTAAAAATTTTTGCTTAACTCAATCAATATGTGATAGTTTTAGAATCCACTTCTAATTGGATTAGTAAGAGTTGTCTTAATCCAAAAACAACTATGACAATATTAAGCCTTACTTATTAAAAGTACATTTTAAAAAGAAAATTACTGTAAAGACTGAAGTGGCAATATAGTTGTCTTAAAAGTGTAACAAGTATATAAATTGACATTCTCGTCCACTTTTAATCAGAGATACCTGGGACAGGACATTTTTTTAACCCATTTACTATGAACTATTAATTGATATTTTACTATCCACAGCGGTCAATGTTTATATGCAGATTAGTCAGCAATTGCTAATCAAGTACACCTTCCAAATTACAATCTATATAATGAATTGGTGTTCACATTTATTTACATATATCATTATTAATTACAAATTTCTTTTTTTTAATGTTAGTTGACTTTTATTTGAAAGAAAAGTGTATGTCAACTATTAAAATTTAAAGAAGTACAAGACCTGTATTAATTATTTTTAAATATACACATCCCTTTGTCGAACGTTTTCCCTTGGGAAAAAATCGGAGATTGTAAATAAACAAGATTAACTGCAGAAGAATAGATCGTTTGAAATGATGCTCAATAAAGTATGATGCAATCCCAGTTATCAACTTTAACAGAGAAAAATTCTGACTAACAATTTGAATTCGATATTTCTGAAATTGCTAGAAAAATCTCTGTCATATAATAAATACCAAAGGAAATTAAATATTATAAAACATTAAGAGAAGAAAAGGAAAAAGGGACACCAATCTGATAACGACAAATAAAAGCATGCCAAATATTAAATAATAAAAGGTTCATTTGCAAAGTATATCAAAAAACAAAGTCATGGTCAAAACCATGAAAGACAACTCAAATCAATCGTATGATAGGTAAAGATACGTGTATATATACGTGGTCTTATGACAGTGAAGTTTTGGCGGGAATCTCAATAATCACGTGATATATAAAAATCATGATTTCTTTCGTTTTTCATCATCTCAGAAATACTTGATATTGATAAAATTTATCCTGAATGGATTTTATAGTTTAGGAATACTTAGATAAAACTTGAATGACGAATTTAACAAAATTAATAGGTTAGCAATAACCGGTCCCGTCACGTGCGTACGTCGAGTTAGGTACGTATGTCATTTTATTGGAAATCTATAATATGACATACTTTGATATCTCTAATAAGTACTGTTATAATCTAATGTGTTTTATAAATGTTATGTTATTACAAATCCGGCAAATAGTCTAATTCGGTAGGTCAACATATTTGTTTAAGAGAGTCGGTAAAATCATGAAATTTCATTAACTATTAAAGGATCAAGAAGTATTATTCTATAAAAGTAAAATAGATTAAAATACAACCTTGAAGTGTTACAGAACATATCCCATATCAAACAATTCGTGATAAATGAAAGTCTTGAGAAATAAGTGACCACTCAGAAACTTATATTAAGGATGTTCGCTACTCTGTTTCAAAATAACAAGCTTTTTAAAAGACTATTATAAATTGATAGAGTATAAAGAACGGAGCAAAAAAAAAAAAAACACTAAATGAAGGGTCCGTGTGCTTGTTTTCGAGATATAAGCCATTGAAAATTTGGCGGGAAATGATTCTCTCTAGATTTTTCTTATAATTAACATCTGCATCTTTTTTTTCAAAAACTTTTAAAAAAATAACAAGGATATTATAAGATTTTCAAATATGGCCTTTTAAACTATATGTTATAAAATTATGAAATAAAAGTAGGGCTTAGTGGGCAAATTTTTTAATGGCACTACATGGTTAAAACCAGAGGATTCCGAAAATCTGACAAAAATTCAAAAACAAGAGGAGCAAACATCCTTAATAACCAAAACAAAGGCTGTATTTCCGATAACATAAAATCATTTAATTGAAACAAAATGATACTTTGATATGTCAAATGCATGTGTTATATATTTTTTCTTAAAAAAAGAAGATATAAGTAATGTTTTGAAATCTTTGTCTTGTTTATTTCGTTAATAAAACTAGGACAAAGCGCAGTTTATAATTTACTTCTTTTCATAACGTGTTGTTTTCTTTGTTATTATTTCATTTCAATACATTGATATGCAACACATTTGGATACGTTTGGCTGCAAATTCTGTTTTACAAGACAACGCAGTCCTGGTGTAAACGAAATAACTTTCATTTATCATTCGAAGAAACAATAAATTATGAAACTAAATACCTGGCATTTGTGTTGTTCATTCAACTTCAATTTCATTAAAGAAAGTTCGTAATTCCTTATTTTTTAAAGATTGTAGCAACCCACCTTTCAACCCTTTATGTTATTCCGTTTTGTAATGTCGGAAAGTACGCGTTTCCGGAATCGGAAATCAAGTGTTACCGCGATTGAAACGGAAAGCAGGCGTTATATTTTGCATCATTTCTTTTGACCGAATTAAATGAAAGTACAGTAGAATCTGTTTTTTATAAAGTTTGTTTTAAATCCATTTTTTTTTTTGCTATGTAATATCTGGAGACCTATATATCAATTTGTAACATTTAAAATATTAAAAATTTCATATCTGGCAATGAGAATCGAACTCACGATCTTTCTGATTTGAGTTGATTCAACTTAACGTTGTACCACTGGGATCCTTCGAGAATTGGAAATCAAAGTGATAAAATATACTAAGAAGAGAGAAAAAAGCTTGTTTCTTTTAGAAATAAAGAATTGAGATGATTTATTTGTTTGAAAATCCTTGATTTGGAGAAAATATCGGAGAACATAATACCTTAGTCAGCCATTTTTTCCGTTGGCATATACAGTTCACTCATTTAAACGAAAGTGTTCAATGTGACCATTAACAAGCACTCACGAAACAACGTTTTGTAACATCTACAGTCTTAGGTCAAAAGCGTTTCACTACTCTGAAACGCACCTACATATTTTTTTTAAAAGATTGTTAAACATTTATTTCAGGTCTGATTTTGATGGAATTGTTACTGTTAAACTCATAAAATGGACTTTCAATAAATTCTATGTTGATGTTTCTATGTTTTGGCGACTTTCAGTTTCACATTTGTACATTTTCCCGTTGAATATTTATATTCTTATGTCATCGTTCAATGACGTCATATACACCGAATAACCTCGGGTAACTCATTCATAAAAAGCTGCCGACGTGAGAATATGATTGGAACGACCCAAATAAATCATGACCTGGCCGATCAGCTGACATACAATATATTCGTATTTCAACACGGATATATACTCAAATCGTTTGAAGAACGTCATACTAGAAATACAAATACTGAGATTAAGTGTAATGTTTTCCTACATAGCCATATATTTTTTTCTTTCAGAAATTCATATTTGTCTTTAAACAGTAATGATTTTAAAAGCAAAATTCATAGATATATATCATTATAATTGCAAGAAACTGCAGATATTTCTGTATTAATTTTAAAAAACAACATTAAATTTGGATATAGAATAACTTAAGTAAAATGTTTTAAAAATGTGTTTTTAAGTGAAATATATAATAGCGAAATTTTCGAATTTCGTCAAACGATGAGATTTTTGTAGACGAAACGTTTCGCTAGCCTGACGTAATTTTTTTAGCATGGTATCTATGATGAGTTTATTTTGACATCTGACTGAATTTAGACTTCACGACTTTGAATAATTTCAGGACATTTTGGCGGTTTCATTCTCTCTTTCAATAAAGAAATGAAATGAACACGATTTTGCGTGATTCCGAATTTGTCATTATAATAATAATAATAATAATAATAATAATAATAATAATAATAATAATAATAACATAATACTTTACAATTTTTTAAAATATTCTATCAAAACGGTCCTTAACCGAATTTGTGCGTCAAAACATGTGAAAGACTAAGCAAATAAAAAGTCTTAAACCTTGCTTCAGGGAAGGGGTTAAAGTAATATCGTCGTGCAGCTATTCCCATCGTGCATGAAAACGCTATACAAATAACTGCCATGAATTATAACTAATGAAGGATAGAAAATTTATATCAACAGTCTTTTTTTTATGACAATAATGACTTATCCGCGAATTTAGATTCTTATCATTTGCAGCGTTGCAAAACAGCGTATTAATTGTGGGTGCGTAATTATCTGTCTTTACTTCTGTATTGTATGCCCTAAGTACCAATTCCTGTTTTTCAAATTAACAACAAATGTGTTCTTATCTTTTAGGCTCAGTGTAAAATAACTTCCCGTTTTCAAAATAATTTATAATAATACTTGTCAGCAATTGTATAACCGTTCAATCATAGAGCCACAAAATCAGCTTCAGCTTTGTCTTTCCTCTGAGATTCCTGTATCCAAAGCCTCATATCTGGAATGACATCTATGAAAGTATTCCTTCAAATGATAACTCAAACTTGTCCCTGGGATGTATTTTGGTTGATTTTAGTCTCTGATGCATGATATTTTATTATTAATTGTTTTTGGCTTTAACTAGTCAGTAACTGCAAGTACTCTCAAATAAATGTTCACTTCTTCGTACTATGAACATCAAAATTATTTATTTTGTAAAAATATTTCCTTTCTCCATTTAAACTGTATACCTGACTACAAAATTATTTTCATTTACCTGTGTATACTATTATTGTAAACAGCGGATTTTTCTTCAATGTTATTGATGTTTTTCTGAAATTGTTTAACATTTCACAGCGGTATAATACTGTTACTTTAATTATTCATCCCTCATTTTATTGATTTTGTATTTACATTGTATCATAGATCAAATTTATTCGTTCAGTGTATGTTCACTTGTGTTAATATGTCTTTTGATTGAGTTAAGCCATTTCAATTGATATTTTATAGTGTGTCTTTCTATGTTGTGATGTTACACTATTGTTTCAGATAAGGGTAAAGGTTTGGTACCTTTAAAACGTTTAAACCCGCTGCAATTGTTTGCACCTGTCCTAAGTCAGGAATCTGATGTTCAGTTGTTGTCGTTTGTTGATGTGGTTCATAAGTGTTTCTCGTTTCTCGTTTTTTATATATAGACCGTTGGTTTTCCCGTTTGAATGGTTTTACACTAGTTATTTTTGGGGCCCTTTATAGCTTGCTGTTCGGTGTGAGCCAAGGCTCCGTGTTGAAGACCGTACTTTGACCTATAATGGTTTACTTTTATAAATTGTGACTTGGATGGAGAGTTGTCTCATTGGCACTCATACCACATCTTCTTGTATCTATTGAAGGTGCATTTTGATTTGCTAGTCATTGTGTTTCATTATATTTTTGACAGACTAAGCAAAAGATAATCATCTACTTTTAAAAGTGTCTCACCATTTACACCAGATATTTCTGTGCGGTTCCTTCAAACAAATCTTCTATTTGTTCTGGCATAACCCTTCAATAAGCTATTAGCTAAATAAAATATTTACCAGACTTATTATTAAGTATGCTAGACGCAACAGTGGCGCTCGACTAAAACCTTCCAATCAATAATCCAGTTGTAGATCATGGAAAACCAAAAATTCAAAAAGTTGTGCAAATCCAACTAAACTTATCTATATATAGAAGAACCATAATGTTTATTATGATTTGAACCTTGATAATCTGGTGTATTAGCTCTGAATTTTTTAAATAAGCTTTGGATTTTCAAATATTTTAGCCTCAAGCATCACTGAAGAGGCATTTACTGTAGCATTAAAATACTGTGGTTTCATTTTTATGAAGAAATATCATTTTGACACATGATCTGATTGTTATTATCATAAAATAAAATAATCTGTATTAAAGTCGTTTCATCAGTTTCATTTTACCCCCAACGGCTAATGAGACATTAGCGCATTCTACACGTATTTCAAACATTTGTAAGTTTATCAGAACTGAATATTGGATTCCTATGTAGGAACAGTTGATTGAAGGTCTTCGAAACCAACACATGGAATATTAGACTTTATATTAGGGGTGGTGACAGGGGCACATCAGGTTGCAATATATTGATCAAATTTATTTATTTTCTTTTTTGTTATGTACAGCATTTCTTCTTTCTTTTTATTTTTAAATAATATTTAATTTGCATCAATATTGGGACCACGAAAAATCAATATAAATAAAATGTTATATGATAATTGAACAAAGGGTATGATTTATTATATAATTCCAATATTCAAAAATATAATACTGGTAAAATTCAATCCCTGTTAATTAATGGTATTTCAAATTACAGCATGAAATTATACAGCCTCAATGAGTTTACAAAGGAAATAATATAACATGTTTTGAATATTACAGATACAATTAAGAGACACAAGAAGTCACATATAGAAATGAACAAGATATAGAACTAATGAGACTAAAAATTTCCAAAATCTGGTTGATTCAATTAATTTAAATCAGGTGCATTTACACATGATATGACAGTTGTTTTCCATTCGTTTGATGTGTTTGAGCTTTTGATTTAACCATTTGATCAAGGACTTTCCGTTTTGAATTTTCCTTGGAGTTCAGTATTTTTGTTATTTTACTTTTTTACACCAGAAGATACCTGTAATAATAATTTAAATGCAATGTACCAAATATAATAATCTGATGTTATTTCATTTTGAGGTGCTTTTCCATTAAGACGTATTGCAATTCCACGAGTTGCAGTTGCACCAAAGGACCAAATATGATAATCTGATGTTATTTCGATTGAAGTGCTTTTCCATCAAGACTTATTGTAATTCCACGAGATGCAGTTGCAACAAAGACTAAATATAATGAATCTGATGTTATTTCAATTGAGAAACTTTTCCATCATGACGTTTTGCAATTCCACGTGATGATGTTGCACCAAAGGACTTAATACAATGAATCTGATGTTTTTTTTTCAATTGAGGTGATTTTCCATCAAGACGTAATGCAATTCAACGAGGTGGAGTTACAACGGAACTAACGAATACATTGTATTAGACCATTTTCAAATTATTTTGGAAGTTTAAACGTACAACAATGATGGGTTAATCATACAGCATAGCATAATTGCAATTCAATTTTGGTTAAATTTTAATATAATTTCCGTTTGATTGTTGGTATAAAACTTTTTTTAAATCATTGTGCTCTTGACACAAGATGCAAATGCCATTAAAGAATTTCAACCGTAATGGAAATATATACAAATTTACATTTAAATTTAATATATTACCTGATAAGCTACAATAATTAATTTGATTACGGATTTTTATTATTATTGTCTCGAATACATGCCATCATACTTTTCTGTAGACATTCATATTCGCGGGAAATCATAAACTTATAGCCAGACGCGCAGATTGCCCGTTAAAGACCTCAGTGACACTCGAATCAAGAGTTTAATAGCCAAATATAGTACGAAGACGAAGAGCTTTGCAGACCCAAAATTCCGAAAGGTCCTGCCAAAAAACAGCTCATTTACTCTTTTTTTGGGGTCGATAATCCTAATTATTTTACCTCAGTATGTGTTTTATTTAGAAAATTGTATACAAATAAATTTAATGAAAATGATTATTGTAAGAGTTGCAGTTTAAAGAGAATACACATGCATTGTCTCGAAATATATACCAGTTTCTTTCTGTATAATAAAACACTAATTTACTGGATATTAGGACAATAGCAAGTGTATTGTCCCCCTCGACTTGCTATTGTCCTCAAAGCAAGTAAATAAGTGTATAGTATTACGAGCAAAACAAAATTTTTTTTTACAAAATTTCATGTCAGCACAGAAGTAATGACTAATGGGTTGATAATAAGATTCTAATTTCTGGGAAATCGTTTGCTTCTTTATGATGTTTAAAGAAAAAATCCCGAAAACACCGACAACAGGAAAGAAGTTTTCGGCCATGTTGTTGATGGATTTTCAGTACTATAGTTGTATAAACTCATATTGACCCTTTGTCAATATATGTTCAATTCGGGAATATATAATTAGAATTTGATATCAGGTAGGTGTTACCTGTGAAAGAGGAGGAAGTCTGTATTATTTTCGTGATATCTTTTGGAAATCAGATATATAAATATATAATTTTTGCGGGAAATTGTATTCGTTACAACATGGCAGCCTCCGTCAACAGCGTAAATTCGTAAATGCAGTTGTTGTAAAAAAACAATTGTATTCACTATATATAGCTATCATCCTCTATAATAGTGTAACTAATATTTACTTACTCGACCATCTTTGCGAATCTCTAGATGAGACAACATAAACAATCGATCCTCTTATCAAATCACAAATGAACATTTACAAATGCAAAGCTGGCATGACTTCATATCAACGCTTTTAAAAGTCGCTTTTTATACGGACAAATTTAAAGTGCAATGTTGTGCAAAGATTGTGGAAATGAAACCTTCCGAGAACTTTAAACATTATAACATATAATTCAGAGTTCACATGCGGTTTACACATGTACAGGTGAAAACGAATAAATATGATATATCGAGGAATAAACAGTTTAACCAGCAACCATACGTCACAATTTACAGTTCGAAATGATCCGTTCTGAAAGTACAAGTATAAAGAGATGATAGATTGAAACTTCGATATATGATCTTTAAGTTAAACATACATTTGTCATCACTATAACAGAGAGTCTTAATTATTAAGCAAATAGCATATGTCAACTCTGGTTTCGACATAATTTAATACGTTTTCACAATTATATTCTTTTCTGTTTAAACCATCCTGCATTACTGACTTCGATTCTGATTTCAATTTCTTGGGCACTTTTTACAATTCTGTTCTCAAGGGATCTTTCTGTATCAATTGTAATTCGATCGGATAGTGATCACTTATATCCTTTGTCTGGAAATATAACATACTGTTTATTATAATGCTAAATATCTTAAAATAAATACACACATGTGGAGAAAGAATAATCACAATCAAGGGACCGTAGTCACTATAGACAAAAAAACCATTGAACAAAAAAAAAAGAAAAAAAGAAAGAAACGAAAAGGCATACTACAATGATCAGACTTTTTAAATAACATTTGTCGTAGTAGTTTTTCATAATTGTTTAAAGCAAATATACCTGTTCTTTTGACAAGCCATACTCTTTGTCGAAATAGAAAACACCATTGCTCCCCTCTAAGATGGTTGACCTAAGCTTTTCTCCATACACTATGAATCTATAAATATGAATGCAAATACGCATAAATGATGACAAACTGCATAACATTTTAAAGAAATGAATATCTTAAAATAAATGTGCAATATTTAATTTCGCCTTTTTAAAATTATATCTTTCATGATGCTTTTATATCTATCTCATTTTTCAATTTCTTCAATTGAATGTGCTGTTATTTTCTGATATTCAAATTTTATATTTTTAAATAATGCTTTGGTTTATCTTCTTTGTAGCAATGAAACCACGATATCAGAATGCAGACGTTTTTTTGTCATTTTTAGGCGAAAAATTGCATTTCATTTTCTGTTGGTTTTCTTTCTTTTATTTCTTTCGCTCATATAAACCCAAACCAAAATATACCTACAAACTATATTCATATTGATCACTTGAACATATTCTATTAAAACGACAAACTCATTGATAGCAACAGTTACAAAATTTCTGAAATGCAATTTATGTTTATCAACAACAAGATATTAGAGTTTTGTTAACTTATATTCTAAGGCAATAGTTTGATTTGCTTTTTAGGATTTGATTTATACTTTTTCTGTAAACGTCTCAATTCGAATATTTAGCGGGATATCAATTTATGAACTTTAAAATCCAAATGAAAGAATGAAAAACTATTTTGTGCAAAATGTATTTGAAAAGATATAAAAGCTGTGTGATGTATTTCATGCTTTGTAGACTTTAATATAGATATTCATGGCAGCAAATATGTTTTCACTTTGCTCTTCTACTCATTGCCAAGCAAGATCTGTTTGTGATAGCTTAATCAACAATTTACGTACGTCTGCAAAGCTTCCAACACAATACACTTTTGATATTTTATTATTCTATGAGTAAAACTTATGTTCAAGAATTCTTGTTTGCAATTGTTAGATGTTGATGTTATTCAGGAGTGTCTAAACAAGTAAACGTGTTTATCAATCCATTTCTAAAAGGTATACATTTCCGTTTTATATATAAAAGGAAGATGTGGTATGTTTGCCAATGAGACAACTCTCCACAAGAGACCAAATGACACAGAAATTAACAACTATAGGTCACCGTGCGGCTTTCAACAATGAACAAAGCCCATACCGCATAGTCAGCTATAAAAGGCCCCGAAATGACAAATATTAAACAATTCAAACGAGAAAACAAACGGCCTAATTTATGTTCTCTTTAATTTATTGAAGAAAAACTGTATTACCTGTCGTATGCACAGTCTGTGGAGACTGCAGTTTTTGTACCACTAGATATTAACCAGTGAAACTCTTTTTTGCGTCCAATTTCCGTTTGGTCTAGTTTATACTTCGGGGCATATTTACAATCGGCATTCAAGTCACCCAAAATTAAGATATCGTCAGTCTCCATTTCAGAAATTATATCATATGTTACAATTTCTAACGCAGATATTTCTTCTATTGCCATCGCAGGCTTTGCGTGTATTCCAACAAGTACAAATTCTGAAATAACTGAACATTTGGAAAACAAAATAAATTAGAGACAAATGAGTAAAAGTGAAAAAAAAATATTTTGCACTAAAGGTATAAAATACTTAATGAAATCTTTTCCTTTTCTTTGCCACATGTAACAAGACCCATCATTCATATGCTTACAATCAATTAGCAAAATTTACATCAATTCCGATGTAACAAATTATAATTACCATTATGATACCTAAGTCAAATGATACACCGTTGTTATACTACATAAAATGTTTGCCACTTTATTTTATGTAGGTTCAATTGATTCGCTTTACAAATTTGTGTTTGGTATCCTTGTTCCTTCATCATATTATTGAAAAGGAACAAGGCAGTAAGCTAGAAATACTATAAATCAAACATGGGCCATATATACATACTTTTTAGTCTCGATTTTAGCCGTATAATATAAAAACTATATGTTTGAACTTGTAAATTTATATCGTTCCCTTCGATGGATTAGAACTCAAGCAATTGAAATAACAACTGGAACTCATCATCTTGAATGCGTCTAGTAACCTATGCCATGTGAGAAATGCATCGACTTATAAAAATTAGCTTTATTGTTGGCCGAGTGGTGTAGAGCGTTGGCCACCTTAGATGTTCCCCAACAATTTGAGCTGGAATCTCTGAGAAAAAGATAATATTTACATAGAAGTATGGTCGTTCCTTCAATTTTCAATGCAGAAAATGTATCATAGAGTTATGGCAAGTAAAGATAATTGTATATATATAAAAAAAAATAGTGGTAAAGGAAGGAAAAACTATTTTCATGCCACTACAAGTCATATATATTCCTTCACCATATAGTGTGTGCCATTATACACATCATTTAGTCATTGAAGTATGTATCAACAGCTTTAGTTCGAAATACGCTGCTACGGTAACAATATAAATTTGAAGTCTGAAAATACAGTTATCACATTGTGTGGATAAATTCAAAGCGTACACAAATATATTCAGAGAGTAAAAATCCTGTACAGTCGTTGCTTTCGTCCATCCGATGAAAAAAAAATCCAAAGTCTTTGCTAGTGAAAAGTATAGACTTATTATAAATTGATTAATACCCACCAGTATTTTCTGCTTTAAATTTTACAATATAAGGTGGACGTTCAAATATATCATTTGTACCATTATACACATATTCGGAAACGACAGATATGTCACTGTCTCTGCAGAAAAAAAAATAAAAAAAAATTAAAATGATTTGTGTATTATTATTAGGTTATGTTGTCATTAACACGGACAGATAAAATAAAATCTGCATTCTGAACTTCATAAATCACGCCGTTGAATTTCTAGTTTGAATTGTTTTACATTTTGTAGTATTGGGGCCTTTTATAACTTATAATAAGGAAAGGGGTTTTGCTCATTGTAAAAGGCCGAACGATGTTAATGTAAGTATATGCTTACTTGCATTTCATTTAGTCTCTGATGGATTGTCTCATTGGCAATCATATCACACCACCTTATTTTTACATCATTAAAGAATAATAGTTATAGACGAAACATATTTTGCAGTTAGATTTATATCTTTATTGCAGAATATGCTTGCTTACTACAAAGGTAATAAAGTAAATCACTTCTCACCTATAGAAGAAGGCATACTGTTCTTTAACTTGTCCAGTTCCAAGTCTTTCACTTACAACTTTGTCGTACATGTCATTCGATGCTCTGTAAAACCAAATGGTTGTTCACACAATTTTGAAATATTTCTAGAGTACATTTTTGTATATCTAATAAGTTGCTATACCATATATGTAATTGGTGTCTACCCAACATATGCTTGTACTAATAGTTACCACATTTCCTAAAAAGCAGATAATAAACGCAGATGCCGGATTGTTGTATGTAAGAAAACAAATTGCAACGTTAAGAGTTATTTGCCTTTTTGTGTGTAAAATGGACATTGAATAGTGTTAAACAATCAAATAAGGCAAACAATTTAATTAATTTAGCCAATCCTAATATATAATAATTGCATCACCAGACCGACAGTAATGAAAAAGTATCTTGACTCACCACCAGCTTATAATCATAATTTCAAGGCGCGTTTTTGTTTCCAACCATGAAATCAAATAGTCTAATTCTCGTTAAATCATATACTTGATAACCGTCTGAATGAATGCATAAATGAAAGGCACATATTAACACAACATGATTGAAAGTGCAAAAGAAAGGAACCTTAAAACATAACTATATGCATGTACATTTTTCTGTCGGCAAAAATTTCTTTAGAATAAAAGAAGATATGTTCTATTTTTATTTCATGTCATGTAAAATAAAATTTGGAGAATCAGATTTTAGATTCCAAGGTAATGAATGACAAGTACTCAAACTGCAGATAAAGATGATAAAGTAGTCTATTTAAATTTTAAAAAAACATATCTATAACAATAGTGTTGGTTTTGTGATATTTCTCTGTGCAGGTGATGAGAACAGAAAAACCCAGACCCGTATGAACATCTAAATGCTAATTACAGACTTTGTGAACAGAAAAACCCAGACCCTTATGAACATCTAAATGCTAATTACAGACTTTGTGAATTCTTTCCCTCTCGCACAAGAAATTATCCGTTCCCATCAGATATTGGATAGAAAGCAAAAGATAAATGATCGAATAAATAAAGGCAACAGTAGTATACCGCTGTTCGAAATTCATAAATCGATTGAGAAAAAAAAACAATCCGGGTTACAAACTAAAACTGAGGGAAACATCAAATATAAGAGGAGAACTACGACACAACAGAAACACAACATTAAAATGTAACACACGCAGAAACGAACTATAATATAACAATGGCCATTTTCCTGACTTGGTACAGGACATTTTAAGAAAAAAATGGTGGGTTGAACCTGGTTTTGTGGCTAGCCAAACCTCCCGCTTTTATGGCAATGTTAAATATAACATTAAAATGACAAGATTACATGACAGGACTACAATACAAATAAATGGGAGAACATATATGACAGAGAAACATACGAATAATTGCTAACAAAAGGTACCAGGTTTAAAATTTAATACGCAAGACGCGCGTTTCGTCCACAAGACTAACCAGTGACGCTCAGATCAAAAAGTACGAAAGCCAAAGCAAGAACAAAGTTGAAGAGCATTGAGGACCAAAAGTTCCAAAAAGTTGTGCCTAACCATCAACGTACTCAAAATTCGTTGTGAGAAAAATTAGTTTTGTTGTACAAATGTTTTATATCTAAAATCAATTTATAATGGTGAAAGTCTAAAAATAAGAACATTTACAACCTTTTCTATGGTGACTACGACACAGTGTCATGAATAAGGAAATTGATGAGTGCAGCAGTGGCTACTGGAGGAAACAAGAGAGTATTCGGACAGATAAGTGCCACAGTCATGGAACACTATATACAGTGTAAGACCGGATAAACGATTTTTATTTCCAAATAAATAGATATCAAATTGAAAGAAGAACGACAAAAAGAAAATTTGATGATAATATGAAATTCTTTTACTAGATGGAAAAATACTTTAAATAAAAATAAATTGGCTGTTTTTTCGTTTGGTTTCCATTTCACTCATAGGTTTCCACAGCTTAAAAATAAGCACCAATATTGACTTGATGTTGCCTATAAATCAAAGAGATATGTTTAAATCGAAATAAAAGATTTTTTTACAGTTCATGATTTCTGATCTAAGGTCTCATTAAATTTATGTTTTCAAACAATAGATATGTAACAATCGTTTTTCATAAAGATAGGAATATATATTTATTTACATGTATATATTCATATATATATTACTTACTTATTTAATTCAAAATGAAGTAATTCAATAGAAGTCTCCCATCTGTCTCTAATTTCTTGAATAAGTACAATATCATATCGTTGAAGTATCTGTAATCAAAATGAAACGGTTGCACTGGGACAATTATGTTTGTAAGATTACGTAGTTATTGACGCACAATCAATGTGGACTACAGATGTACCAGTTTCACTCAATTGTCACAATAAAATAACATTGAAACCTACAGGATTTTGAAGGTATTAAGTTATATGCTTAAAAGGTTGTGAAACAATGTAACATATATCCATAAAATATAAATAAAATTGAGAATGGAAATGGGGAATGTGTCAAATGTTTATAAGCGTTGAAAATTTCTTTCAAAAACATGTTGATGTAAATAAGAGAAACAATAGTTGATATGTGTTCAAAACAATAAAATCCTTGTTGAATTTATAAACCAAGAGAAAAAAAACTGAGGTAATCGAATGAACTTCAAACAAATCGAAACCGGATGTGTCGACATGACACATTGCTAGACACCAATCCCTCGCAATGATTATCAATGCCGAGAAATGTAAAAAAATGTCCAAATAGGGAATGTGACACAGTCGGTTAATAAACAGATCAGACAACTGTTCTAGTGTCTAAAAATGTTTTAGACCAAGAAATCGTGAGTTGAGATCCTGAAACATCCGATCGGTCAACTAATTTGTTGTGGTGATAGTAAAACATGTTTTGTGTCGATGTCATTCATGTTAAATGTTGCATCGAAACTGATAATAGTAAAACTTGTTTAGTTTCGATTTCATTCATGTTAGATGTTGCATCGAAGGACATCCGTTATATATCATAAATGACATTATTGTTTATTGGTGAGATCTTTCAAAATTACAGTTTTATGTAATGTATAGGAAATTATAATTTAGTTACATGTTCATTAATAAATAAAGGCAACAGTAATAAGCCACTATGCTCTTAAACACTAAATATGCGAATATCAAGCTATGATGAGCTTTGTCCTACCAGTTGTTAAATGATTTCGGGTGTTAAAAAGTAAAATAACAAAAATACCGAACTCCAAGGAAAATTCAAATCGGAAAGTCCCTTATCAAATGGCAATATTAAAAGCTCAAACACATCAAACGAATGGAAAACAACTGTCATATTCCTGACTTGATACAGGCATTTCCTTATGTAGAAAATGGTGGATTAAACTGGTTTTATAGCTAGCTAAGACTCTCACTTGTATGACAGTCTTTTATGATTGTTCTTTCGGAATCGGTTTATACTATAAACAAAAGCTAAACTTTAAATTGTTCTATAAAGTTTTAGAAACATAGCTATAATAAATAAATATTCAAAAATTTTAACTTTCGCGTTCAAGTTTTTAAATGTTGAAGTTCGAATAATCATTGATAATTTATTCTAGCTATTCCATTCAAACGTTTTCTTAAAATCTCTACAGTTATCAGTTTGTCGCTTCATGGTCATTTTATCGTAATAAATTTAAGTTAACTTTATAATTTAGTCTCAAAAATCATTTAAATATAAATTTTGTGTACTCCTCTGTAAGTCATTTTGTTTTACAACTCAACGACTTGGAAGATTTATTTTGGAATTAAATGTTATAATCAATGATTATTGCTGCAAGTATTTATAGCAAAGCAGTTCCATGACTAATTCACATCATCAGTCATGGTGAACATTATTTACAACCACTTTTTGTTATTATCTTCTCGAAATATGAGGAAGAAAATAAATATCGTATTGCACGAGATTTGGTGGTGTAATCTGTATCTCTAATGATTTGTAGACGAAATTTAGAACACATAAATCCGTCTTTTCAAATTGTCTGCAAAAAGAGGTGTTCTTTCTATGTGACGTCCTTTGACATATCCACCTTTTTCGTGACGTCACAAAGTGAAATTTAGAGGTAAGCAAGAACTTTTGACGTCATAAATGAATTTTGACCAATGACGAACTCAAATCAAACGAACCACACGTTGATTAAAAAAATAATCAACGGGTCATGAAAAGGATGAATCAGCCTTGTAATTAGAGACACAGTAACAGAATCTATAAGTATATTGTCTACTTACTTTAACGATATTTTCCATAACCTCAACATTTTCGGCCTTCTTTTCACCAAATATTTGGATGTTGAAGGCACCAATTGTAAATGAACATGATCCTTCAACCAATATTAATAAAGCCAGTGCAATATTTTGAACTAAGTTCATTGTGCTGGATGATGGACTTTTACCTTAAATAAATAATCCAATCTTAACGAAATTTCATGCCTTACCGAAATATCAAGACTACACCTGGTATCGACTTCAGTGATACTCTTTAATCTTCCTCGCAGTAACCGCTACACACATTTACATAATCGCGAGTAATTAATAAACTGCAAATAACTCACCAGTTCGTACTACAAGTTTAAAAAAGATTTATTAATCGAAACAACTTTAAACAAATCATCACAATAGCTCTCAAGACAACTGAAAAAACTTGACGATGAAAAGTGTGGTTAAAATCGGCTGCAAAAAATGATAGTCCACAGAAAATGAAAGCATTAAGAATTTACAATCCTGGTGTGTCTTGTTTCTTTTTTCATCAAAAATAGAAATGAGTTTTAAAATAAAGAAAAAGAAATACATACGTTTCTCATAATGAATAACGAAAGAAAATTTATAAATGGACGATAATAATCTTACCATGAAATTAATGTAATGAACAGCTCAATTAACTGGCTTTATTAAATAAAATAAATTGAGCACCTATTATTTAGAGGTACAACCTTCCAGAACCCTATTAATAGCAATATATTTTCATGGGCCAATGCTTTGGTTGTGCAGCTTGTTGGTTATCGAAAGGGCGGTGGTATAATTTCATAAAATGGAAGTTTTATAAGTGTTAATAATAGTAGTTTGGAAATTTTAAAGTGACATCATACCTATAAATTAAATTACGAGAACTGCAATTTTGCGTGTAGTACTCAGAATTGAGAGTTGAAACGTGAGTTGTTAGTAGATCCTAGAAACACGTCAAGAAGAGGCGGAAGATACTAAGGGGACATTAAAAATTCATAAGTCGAAAGAAAAATAACAAAGCAATGGCAAATCAACCCAAAGACGACGAAATGACGAATAATCACACATAACACTACATAGACAATAAAGGTCTGAACATAATGAATCCCACCATGAAAACTGGGGGTGATCGCATGTACTTAGGAAGGGTACATAAAACTAGCTCCTCTAGTGGCACACGTCATGTTACTCATGTTAAGTACTAGTTCGGTGGCAAATCATATTCGATGATGTCACAATCGAGGAAAAGATAACTGAATATAGAAAAAATGACAGCTATAAAAATATCTCATACGATTAAAAGCAGAGACCTTTGAAGCAAATTACCAGTATTAATTATTAAGAATATTAGATATATTGACAGAAAATGAATTATACTACAATATCACAATTGGTCATATGCTAAATTTTACAGGAATTTCAAACTGTGTCATGTCAGTGAGTACAGTGAGTCAGTACATATGGAAATTGATTTTTGTTTATATATTATTTATTGGTTTCTATCAAACCATCCTTAGCATGTTATAAGTCATCAGGATATTTTGTAAATTAAGAAAGAAAATAATATTCAGGATTATTAGATTTTAAGCAAGCATATTGTCGGAATCTGGGCATCCGTCACTACATTCGGAGTCACCCACATATATGTCAACGGATTTATCAATTAAACTGAATTGGTTCAATAAACATCTGTAATAATCCTACATTCCATCATTCGATTTTTTCATTTGTTATATTTCGTGGCAGCTAAAGCATACATTGATACTTCCAACTGAGAAATTATGTTTTCTTCTCTCGTCATCCTTTCTTCCTTATTTTGAAAACAGTCGCCGAATTCCTTTCTGATTACCCATAGTAACATTTTTGAAACCCTCGTTTCGATTTTTCAAACAGTATTTCAGTAATTCCATGAGACTTGAACTCCAAATCGTTCTTGTCTACAGAGAAGTTCTATTCAGATTTAGTTGTAATTAGAGTTCCACCAAAATCAAACGCTGCAGCATGTTAACTTGATTTTAGACTTTTGGATTCATAATATAAAAGCCCATCCGTTTTTTTAGTCCACCGTCTATTAAGACTGTTCAAATGGTGGGTATTGTCGAGATCGTCAAGTTCCATCAGCAAAATATACATCTTCATATAAGTATTCGGAAAGTCATCATACCAGTCTATTCCAAAATTACTTTTAAATGATCAAGTTCGTACATAAGAGGATGATTTATAATTGTTTGTGGAAACAACCTTCTTCGTTTGAAGATAGTAAAGGGGTAAAAGTTCCGGTTCAGAAAAATACCAGTTCTCTAGTATCGTCGCTTATATATTCTAAAATTGAACTTATTTCTTCTTGGCAGTTTAGTTGATAATTCCCATTATCTCCGTTATGATAACCAACAGATTTCCAGAGATTTCCAATAACTGTCGGACTCGGAGTCCGAGTTCGAGTAGGACTACAAATCATATAGGTAAGCTATAGGGGTGATCTCAAAATAATTTGTACGCTAATTAATATTACCGTGCTCAATCTTTACGCGTTGATAGGACAAACCCATTTATCAAATGAATTGACGTATTTTCCCCTCTTCTTAATAAAGGGTAGAAAAAGAGTGTTTCCTTTTACGCTCGCATACCGATGTGTTGAGAATTTCAAAAATATCACAGCAACCATTTTTATCTGAATAGTTTTCATCGTTTACTTTAAAAATTCCTTTTCCATAATTGACGAATTATTTAAACGGGAATTTGATAATACCTATTGTTCAGTCTTATTTTAAATATTTATTTGTTTGGGTGCTATTTGTTTCCACTCTGTATTGCCTTGGAAGAAAGGATATACATTTTCAATTAAATAATTACTAATTGTATCTATTCGTTTTAGGTAGGAATATTTGTTTTTTTTTTATATCATGTTACCTTGAAATTGTTTATTCAATTTTAGAAGAGTGCAAAAATAAGTCTGACAGAGAACCATACCGGGCTTCTTTTTTTAAATAGACAATTCTAAAAGATCATTTACATTTCAGCTGCTATTCAGTTTGCAGTAGCCTTTTTGATTTTTTTTAACGGCAAATCAATTGAAAGAGTGTTCTATGTTAACTTTCCTTCAAACATTTTCATAAGAAAAAAGTTGAATGGAGCAGCAAACGATACAATAGAAAAAGAAAGGACAGTAAAAATAAAAACGACGGGACGGAGTAGTATGTGGGAGGAACATTGAAAATACATGTAGGTAAATATGGATTGAAGAAAATATTCTTTTTTTAAAACAGCCAAAGAAATGGTTTTTAATTTTTGGAACTGACATTAATTTTTTTATATGATTGTTTGACTTTCAAGGAAATAAAGAATCAAAACAACGAGACTGAGTAGTGTGTGGGCGGAACATTGAAAGTACATGTAGGAGGATATGGATTGAAAAACACATACTGTATTTGAATAAATACAGCCAAGGAAATGTATTTTATTTTTAGAACTGACAGAAAGTTTTTTGTATGATTGTTTGTTTTTCGCAATTCGTTGTACTACATGTACTACTTAACACAAATACACGATGTACAATACAAAACTAATGATGTAAAGGAGCAAATGGATTAGGTTAAATGCATACGATTTATATGTTAAGAAAAAGGAAAAAACAAAAAATTTCATAACACGTAAATCATATACATTCAACCTAATCATTTTGCTCCTTTGCAATATGAGTTTTGGATTGTACATCGTTTATTTCTGTTATTAAGTTGTTCTTGTTTTTCGGAAGAACAAATTACGAAAAGTCAAACAATCATACAGACATTATGTATAATATAAAATACTAAGATGTGGTATGATTGCCAATGAGACAACTCTCTTCCAGAGACCAAATGACGTAGAAGTTAACAACGATAAGTCACCGTACAGCCTTCAACAATGAGCAAAACCAATACCGCATTGTAAGCTATAAAGGGTATCGAAATGACAAATGTAAAACAATTTAAACGAGAATAAACAAACAAATAAAAAGGTACTCCCTTTTAATGCACATTTCCAAGAAATAAAATAACATTTCCTATGGCTATGTATTATCAAATACAGTATTTTTCCTTCAAGCCACATCCACCTACATGCACCGTCAATTTTCCTCCCACACACTACTACGTCCCGTCGTTTTGATTCTTTTTCATTTTGATCTACATAAGGGATGAAGTTAACACATCATTTTGCGTCACTCACTGTTTGTATCGTTTGCTGCTCAATTTTATTTGTTCTTTATAAAATAAAAGATTGAAAAAAGGTACTGTCTAACTGAATAGCTGAAATGTTAACGATCTTGTAGATTTGTCTATTTGAAAAAGAAACGTCGTATGGTTCTCTGTCAGACTTATTTGTGTACACTTTTAAAATCAGACAAACAATTGCAAGCTCTTGACAGGGAGGATGATTGGGATGACTTAGAAGGTCAATGGATTAAATGTATGCGGATTGGCTATTCATAATCATTCACGTATCTAATGAAATCTTTTTTTCTCTCTTCAAAATCAATGCGAACAACAGTATGCATTACAATTCACTCAGCTAAAAAAACCTATTCTGATCCAAAAGGGTTTCATACAATTTGCAATAATTCAATTGAAAATATTTATCCTGTCCTCCAAGACTATACACAGTGGAGAAAAAAGATGCCCCCCCCCCCCAAAAAAAAAAGAAATAAAAAGAAATACACAAAAAATGAACAGTAGTATTATCTGATTCCCTATTAAATGATTTATCTGTTAGGAAAAGACCATTTAACATGAAAATGGGGTGTTTTTAATAGACTTGAGAATGTACACCGATATAAGTGATCAAATTACAGGAGCAAAAGATGGTTCTGAAAGTCATAAAATTCTGAACAAATCTGTAAGAGAGCTTAAATGAAAAAGCGTTGTCTTCAACCCTTCAGTAAAAAAAATGATTTGATAAATGGTGTTGTCCTATCACCATGCAAAGATTGAACACGGTAAAATTAATTAGGGTACACATTATTTTAAGATCACCCCTAAAGCTTACCTATATGATTTGTAGTTTTACTCGTACTCTGAATCGGAGTCCGACAGTTATTGTAAATCTCTATTGGGATTAACATTTTTAAATGCCCTACACCATACTATAAAAACATTTGATGAGTCTTTGTGCTTCGGTGTAGATTCTTCATTAATAGCGAGAGTCTAAACACGTAGCCTTCTGTTGTACAACTACACAGAAAACAAGAGACCTGCGGTAAATCATTGCAAAAGTTGACTTTCCCGTTGATATCCATTCGCTAGCGACTTAAAATGTCTTTGTATTTAGTGCTTGATTGTACAGACGAAAGGTACGGGTCATTCGATCTAGTCGATTCCACTTTAACTGACAAATCTTGATAAATGCTTACTTTAATGTAGTTTCAATACTGATATTTGAGCATATTCGCAAGTGTTTCTCTCATATCATATGGGTTGCAGCAGGATTTCCATCGGTTTGTGTGGCTAACGATTTTCTAATTTTTCGAAAATGTAATTAAGTGTGAAGACACTGATATTACCGGTATTTACTGCTCCTCTTACGTTATTGAAAAAAAATCTTTTGGATCTAAACATGTTGGCTTTTATATGAGTTTTGATCTTTTACTGTTTGGTGTGGGTTTTTTTCAAAAGTTGATGTAGTTTTGTACCATTGTATAAGTTTTCATGTTTGCACAGTTCAATATATTTATATAAATAAAGAATATTCGCAAAAATATAAGACAACTTCCCGGAAACACGACTAGTTAAGATGCACATGATCGACGAAGACGTTACTGATCGTCTGCTATATTCTAAAAAGTTTTTTGAAATATTTTTCTGTTTTTTGTTTACTGTCATTTTAATTATTTTTCAAATGGTTCCCCCCCATTTGAAAATCATAGATTCCACACTGCAAATTTGTTGTATTACACTTAATCAAAGTGCATCACTTAATGGTGCTTAATACAGAATATGAATCGATTAAAAGAAATACCTGCAAAAAAGGACTAGTTCTAGACGAATGCAAGTAGATATCAAGAACTTCATACAAGCCATTTTCCTGAACCAAAAGAAGTATTGCAACAACGACTACAATGATTTACGTAATTGAAAAAAAAAAAATAATTTAGATAAGCAAATAGAATACATAATCTCCTAACATAAAAATAGGAACTAAGCCACAGCCAGACCAGGATTGTATTATCATTCGTATATATAAAAAAGAAACCTTGATACAATTAAAGGAAAAACGTTTGATCATATAAAACGCTACAAGTTCGTACTTACATGTTCTATGTTCAAACTGAACTGGCTGAAAAATTTCAGTTGCTTGAATATGACATTTATAAGTGAAATTACAAACAAATTAAGGTTTGATCTAATCAATATCAATTATTACTAGTACCTGATAATTTTAAGATTTTGCTCCACCTCTCGGTTTACGGTACTGTTATTTTATGAATATATACTTAAATAATGTTTAATGAAATGTAATTGAATCAAAGTCCGGTTGTATGGGATGTACGTGTAGTCGAGTTCCGTTAGAAACGAAACTGACATTATATTATTAGGAGATGTGGTATAATTGCCAATTAGACAATCCTCCAAAGTTCAAATGAAGTGGATGTAAGCAATTAAAGGCAACCGTACTGGCTTCAACAATGAGAAAAACCCATACCGTATAGTCGTCTATAAAAGGCACCGACATAGAAAATATGAAACAATTCAATTGAGAAAACTAACGGCCTAATTCATAACATAACAATTTACGAAAAACAAATATGACAGACATGAACCAACGACAACCACTGAACTACAGGCTCCTGATTTGGGACAGGCGCATAAAGAATGTGGCGGGGTTAAACATGTTTGTGATCGCTCAACCTTCCCCTTAACTATAATCATATTATCGTATTTGTCGTAATCACAGTCCCGTCCTCGAGCTCTAGTCCTCTAATGTTACTTACCGAACTAAACTTTTCGTTGGATTTGTACTTACATGAGCAACTGGATGGGTGGCACTAGTGGAGTAGGATCTGCTTAAATTTCCGGAGCACCTGGGATCACACCCAGTTTTGACGGGGTTCGTGTTGCTCAGTCTTTAGTTTTCTATGTTGTGTTTTGTAAACTATTGTTTGTCTTTTCATCGTTTTTTGCCATGGCAATATCAGTTTGTTTTCGATTTACCAGTGTGAATATCTCTTTGATATCGGTCGCCTCTGTTTTAAAGTTTGAGAAAATATTATAATAACATACCAGAGATCCAGGGTCCGAGGAAAAGAGGAGGGGTCATAATAGCTCCAAATGGTAAAAATACGGCTGAAAGGAATGAGGTGAAGAAATTTTTGACGATATTAATATTTCTTTTACAATTAAAATGGAAGATTTTTTTTTATAATTATATTGTTATTGAAGCAGTGTAAATTCAAGTAATATACAGGTGATGAATTAGATTGGAGTGTTTAAATTGCTACTTAATATGCTCATGCTAGGATAAAAGCATATTTTTGTATCATATTTGATCCCCAAGCGCCATTAATTATTTTGAATAGACTTGGTGCATTCTCGTTAATTTCCTCCAAAGTGGTTCTTCTTTAAAAAGCATACAACTTTGCGGCTTTAGTCTGCGTTTTATAGACAGATACCAACAAAGATATCAAATTGTAATTGGTAAAAAATAAAAATATCAAAAATACCGAACTCAAAACGGAAAGTCCCTTCTCAAATGGCAAAATCAAAAGCTTAAAGACCGCAAGGTCATGCTTTCTCTGACTGTTAATGACATCTTTACACTACATCCATTGGATGTTGGATGTGTACTGATTGAAATGTTAGTCTTAGATGCATGATTTTTTTTATTAGTTGTTAATAGTTTTGAACTAGCTGTCAGTAACTGCGAGTACTCTCAGATCTGTACTTAGTGTCTTTCTTGTTGTTGGAATATATAAGTACCCTGCCACGTCCACTCTGTGTTTTTGTTAGATGTTTTTTTATTTGTATCCATCTGATGAGTTAAGCCTTTTTCAACTGATTTTTACAGTTTGTTCCTGGAGCCTGTAATTCAGTGGTTGTCGTTTAATGCTGTGTAACTTATTTGTTTTTGTTCATTTATTCGTTCATAAATTAGGCCGTTAGTTTTCTCGTTTGAATTGTTTTACATTTGCCATTTCGGGGCCTTTTATAGCTGACTATGTGGTATGGGCTTTGCTTATTGTTGAAGGCCGTACGGTGACCTATAGTTGCTATTTCTGTGTCATTTGGTCTCTTATGGAGAGTTGTCTCATTGGCAATCATGCCACATCTTCTTATTTTCATACATCAAACGAATAGAAAACAACTGTCATATTCCTGACTAGGTACAAGCTATGATAAAAGCATATTATTTTGAATGAACTTATGCCATCTGTTGATAAGTTGGTTGGTTGTAACAGAAGAACAAGCCGATTCAAAATAATTTATGGCGTTTGGGGATCAAAAATGATACATCATAAATATGCTTATGTCATATCATGAGCATATTTAGTGGAAATTAACACTATCAATATATAAATGGGCATTACTGATGTCACTTAACTTAGCAGTATGACAGAATGAAAGTGTTTTAAAACAGTGTCTTTCCTGAGTTTTGTATTGAAATACGCATGTATAACGGAATCGATGTATACGAGACAAAAGTTTCAGCTTCTTTAGAAACAAGATCACTTTATCAAAAATGAAATTAAAACAAAAAAATATGTCTTTGTTATTTTCTCGATCTTGAATTTGGAGAAGTTTATTCTCAATCTTATGTTTTTCTGACAGTTAATTACACCTCTTCACAAAAATATACATGTAAAAATGGTCAAGTTAGCCTTAGAGACTTCTACATCATTGTAAAGTAAATATCAAATTTGAACTTAAAGCAAAGTTGACCTTTCCAGTGTAGTTAAACATTAAATATCAACGCATGCAACATTTGTGAAATTATATACAGAGAAATATTAAAGATCGATGCAGACGTAGAACTTGAAATATCCTTGTTTTGATGTAAATAGTAAGCTGTTGTTTTCAATTTTGATTGGGGCTGGGAGGTTAAAAACAATGACCAACAAGGCCAAATCGATTTAGGTATTTGTAATACAGTGAAAATTCATAGATGACATATTGATTTTCACGGTAGGTATAGTGTCCGGCTAGGATCGTGGTTTTTCGAGTGAATCGGTCCATTTTTTTCGAGTGTAGATCGGGTTTTTTCGAGTGATAAAACATGCGACCAGGTCAATTAACTGCTATTTCGTAATCATAATAGTTTTTTACATGACTACACATCTTATTTTGAATACTATACATGTTTTGAGCAACAAAGAGGCATAATTTCCTTGTATTTAACCAAAAAATTCAGTGTTTAATATTGTCCAGGTTTTTTCGAGAGTAACTGTGAAACCGTCCGGGTTTTTAAACAAATGGTCCGGGAAAACGAAAACTTTAATAAGAAAAAGGTATTCTTGACTTTAAAAAATGACTTTTCTAGTTTATAACTGTAATTTAATGAATGAAAATTATCATATATTCTCAATAAATCCCCAACCATATTACTACGTTGATCAAAATTAACCTTTTTTAATTTAATGGAAATTTTCTGTTCGGAAAAAGTTCTACCACAACTTTCCAGTATTAAATTAGAAATTATTGGATCCTTTATAAAAAGGTCTTTAGAACATACTATGTTACATAGTGCAGGGGACTCATAATCTTTTCAACTTCATTTCATGGTACTTTTGTTGTCACAGTTAATAATATTTTTCGTGGTGAACCCCGGAGTTTTTATACGGGACGTATTATGGTTTACCGTCGTCCGTCCGTCCGTCCGTCATCATCATGTAGTACAATAACTCAAAAACGCTGTAACCAATTTACATGAAATTTGGTGAATTGTTTATATCTATTGAGGTATCCTCCCTTTCAAATTTTATAAATTTTAGATTTTACGTTTCCGGGTTATGGGATTTTATTAAACGAACTAGAGGCTCTCAAAGTCATGTGTCGCTCACCTTTTTCTATGTGCTGCAGTGCATATGAAACAAAGGACACTCTTCAACATTAAAGACAAGAATGGTGACTTGTTTGTAGATCTTACTTTACTGAACATTCTTGCTGTTTACAGTTATCTTTATCTATAATGAACTTGGTCCAGTAGTTTCAGAGGAGAAGATTTTTGTAAAAGTTAACGGACGACGACGGACAACGACGGATGCCAAGTGACGAGAAAAGCTCATTTGACCCTTTTGGGCCAGGTGAGCTAAAAAGGGGTGATTTTACAGTTTTCGGACAATATTTTTAAAGTGCTTTGAGGAGTTTTCATGAAACTTTGGTGACTGGTTTATATAAAAGGTAACCTCCCTTTAGTTTTTCATAAATTTTTGATATGACATTGAGAAATTATTCATTAGTCATCTGACTAGTGAGATAATATCTCAAATACATAATAAAACAAATTTCAAAATTTCATCGAAATAGCACGTGTTTAGGCTTAGAATGTAATTTTTTGCTAGTCTCTAAAATCGGTTTCTCGCTCTTGTTTACCTGAAGTTGTTCGCAGCTTGGGATTACCTTTCTTAAGACTACAAAAGAATATTTCTATTACTTGTTCCACTTGGAAACTAAACAGAACGCATGATAAATCATACATTTCAATTGTTTATATTGAAAGCGCAGAAGCATGATCGATGAGAGTTAGACATGGTTAGAAATACCAACCTAGACCTATATAAGAGAAAAAGAGCCATTTTTTTACATAAGCACTTTTCCTAACATATACTATAATACAATATGCAAGCAAAAGATGCTTCAATACTTCTTTTTAAAATTGATGAAATTCAGAAACACGGTCCACCGTATATCAGACAAGAACCATCTAACTTGAAGATTTGTTTGAAAAAAGAACACAAAAAAAACCGGTATAAGTCTTACTGTTGTGATAAGGTATTTATGTAATTGATTTCTGTCAACTCTTTCTGTATGTGTTTAGTGCCAATCCGATGATTTAATCCTATTCCAACAGATTATTGTAGTTGTGCTGTTATAACACTATCCCAACATAGGAAAGAGTTGGGCGCTTACAAAAATGTTAGACCATGCCGTTAATCAGTGGTTGTCGTTGTTTGCTGTCTGCATTATCTGTTTTTTCGTTTTTGGCTTGCCTCGACAAAGTCGAAAATTCGAGATTAAGGAGTGCACTGTCTTTGTGCGGTGTCATCAATGTTTCAAATTTTCTGTTTAGATCTGTTTAAGTGGAACCATTTATGGTTTATCAATGATATTTAGTATGCAGTTAAAATAGCATTGCCAAATCTCTTTTTCATGGAAATAATTGGGCCCTGACCACTCAGTCATGTTATATTGACTTTGAAACTTTTGCATGTTAAAGTTTGTGATTAGTTCAGTTTGAGGGGAACCGCTAATGGTAAGTCAATAATGTTTTGTATGCAGTTGAATAAGCACTGGCATTTCCCTTTTCGACGGAGATTAATTAATCCTGCACTTTCAGTCATGTTACTTTGAA